TATTCTCGAAATTTCTGAAACAAAAATTGATTGATGACGTCACAATTTATGCAAATTATCTAATTTGCATAATTGAATATCATTACTTTATGAGAAAATTAATTAGGTTTAATTTGATACCAATATCATCTCTATAGACCAAATAATGACAAAGTTACAAATGATTTAAGATTCCAAGGTAAGATGTCTATAGATGCGTAACCATGGTAACGGAATGCTACAATACAGAGCAACCAATGAGAGTTTGCAAGGGCATCCGGCAAAAAATTGAGCCTCAAAGTGTTACCTTTCAAAAAAGTATGGATGCCATAAATTAACAGAGACCGACACGTTGGGTACATTTTTTGAAACGATAGAGAGGCATGGGTTTCTAACTAAATCATAACATTTCATGACATCATTCTATAAATTCAATAAGCTTGATAATGCATTTGTCTTTGGCTGTGAGGGAATTTAATTTTAAATGAGACACCCTGTATGATATTTTTCTTAAGTTACCCGGATAATTTTAAGCATGCATCCATTATATCTCGATTGAGAGAAAGTAGCGTCTCGGCGCCCAGTGCTGAGGCCAGCTCTCAGACCCTCTCGATTCCACTTATGCCACTTTACTCCTCGTTGAAAGGTAGTATGTGGGGTATTTTAATCATTCCTTGTATAGTGAATCGCTATCTTGTCATAGATATTATAACAATGTTGTTCTTGTTCAAACATCTCATTGTGGTGTTTTTTCAGTGGCAGCAGGTCATACTATACATTTGAGATCAGGATTTTGAGAAAATAAATAGGTGTACAGTAGTATTTTTATCGTTTAACATACTGCAGCAATGCCAAAACTCTTATAAAGGAGTGGTATGTCTAATTATATTGCTTCCATTAACATATACAATCCATTAACTACCATTTCAGGTTTAGAAACCGTTTTAAAATCATAAAAAAAGAATTCTACTGGGGGCTACCATTTTGAATTTATGAAATCAAAATAATCCTATTCAGCATTTTCAGTATCGCCTACCTTTTAGCATTGAAATGAGTCTAAACTTAATTTCTCATTTTAAATATTTATTAATTGAAGAACCGTGCAAAAATTGTACATGTATCAATTCTACATAAAACACGTGTTGAGACACCAAGATCGAGCTACATGAGTTGCATCATATCTGCGGGTGTGTAGTAGATATTACTACGTGACAGTTAGACATATGATGGTAGTTAAACCGATAAAAAACATATTTACCTTTCATCTGCCAAGCCAAATCATGAGAATAATCAGTTCATTTTGAACAGGGTTAACGTTTATTTGTTGTATGTAGACCGTATTAAAACGATAAACAATTCTCTAAATTGAATGTAATCCAGGTTGTCAATTTTGCGCTACAAAATGGCGTTAAAGCGCCATCTTGTATGACTACGCCTTTCGTATTGCATGAAACATTAATTTGTCATCAACCTATTAAGGGAATTATTAGGGACAATTTGATTGCAAATAGCCACCTCAGAAGAATCAAGTGTCTGTACTTACCACGATTTTATCTCATAATTCTGAACAGTTTCTACTCCAGGCGGAGTTTGTGGGACTAATTTCAGGTACACATAAAAAGGTACACCAAGTGCCAATATGAGAAAAGTTCATTTGTATTGCCTGATTACTTAATCTTATCGACCTCAGCGGCTGTAAGCAGAAAGTATTTTCAAACCAACCCGACTTGACTGACGACCCATCTGAAAACGAGTGTCATAGATCAATCCATTAAATCATGTCATCTCATTTATAATGACGTCATTCTCGAAATTTGTTGTCAACATTGCTGCCCGCAAACATATAACATTACAAATCTTGCCAATATGCCTATGCTCAAATTTCCGATGTTCACCAAGGATCGGGATTTAATCGAAAGGTCTATAGAATGAACTGAAAGTCCAAAACTGGCTAATAAATTGTTGACAATATCAAAAAGGACTTTACTATCTAAGGAATGCTGTTATTACTTTCAGATGGAACATTTTAAGCTATCCGTATCTTAAACCAGCAGATATATTTGAAAAGGAGGTATTTAAAGATAAATAAACCACAATATCTTTGAAACTATCAGTTAGTTACTTAGTTCAAAATGGCAATATTGATACATAATGATATATGGAACAGATAACAGATAAAAAACGTTTCTCACACAACAACAATACACCCGGAGAATCAAAATAATACTTAACTCTCCCCTCCATATGCTTGGCAACCGTTTTGATGAGACATATTTGAAAATTATTTTACATTATACATAAGACTCCACACATGAGACATAACTCAGAATTCCTATCTGCTTCACAGTAGATGGGAATAAACGTTTAATCAAAGAGGCTGGTGTTAAAAACTCAGCCAGCTAACATCCTTAATTCCCAACCGCCACACCTCCTTGGAGTGCTGGCGCGGCGAACTAACATCAAGAAGCCAAAAAGGACCTGATGAAGATGGACGTAGTTCATTGAAACGTAGCGAGCAATTTTCAAAATAATTGGTTAATGTACCACATAAAACACTATCCAGATGAACATCATTCAATATAAAAAATAAAAAGGCTTCAACATGGGGACGACCGGTGTAAAAGAAATTATGGTCCCCTGGAGATTATGGTCCCCTTTCCTTGTGGCCCTTACTGGCCATAACTGTGTAAAGATAATAAGGAAAATAATTGTAATTAGGTCACCATGTAAATCAATAGAGAGTAGGACCAAAATTTGATAGGACCACCTACCCTTTTACACCGGGTGAAAACAATTTTAAGGAGGGATTTTTAAATCTCCATCCTGGTGTTATTTACCGAGAAGTAACAATATCATGGTACAAATTGTTCAACTCCTGGAGGTGTCAATGGGCCTCATGTGACGTATTATATTTTTCAACACTGTCTTCAAGTGTTTGTATTCCGAAGTGGAAAGATAAACATAAACATCTATGTCAAGCGTTCAAATAAAACCACCATTAAGGATCCAAAAACAAAAAGGCATATCTGATCATATAAAAGCCAACAAAACAAATCTAGCATTCACGGACACGACAGTTTGTGTCACATTCTAATAAAAAGTTATTTATTTAAACGAAGGCCTAGTTATACATAATTATTGTTTATCTCTAATTGATCGATTGATATTAAGACAATAGTTTACTGTTGCACATTACATTGGGTTAAAATGTTCATATTTTATCATATAAAAATGTTTATTTTATTATTAACATTGCATACAAAGAGTATATTGCTTGAAATTGAGTATATCGATGTCGTGGTCAGAATATCAGTATAGTTATATACGATTCTAGAAGCTAAACAAAAGTATCCCTATGCAAAGAAGTTTGAAATATAAAAGGGTCTTTTTTCATGTGCTCGAAGTTTGATAAAATGTCGTGATAAATATTCTTTTCATCATTTTCAGTAATATTCACTTTATATTTAGAAATGGTATTTCAGCGGAAGTTCTAGAAAATGTTCAAAGGATTATATGATGGATTTTTCACTAATTAAATACTTGAAAAATAAACATGTTTAATTTAGGCTATTGAAAAAAAACGTTTTAAAGCTAATTGTTTCTGGCAACTTTTTTTAAAGAAAAGCTCTATATTCTTGAGAATTACATGACCAGAGGACATGAAAACAATGTCATAAAAATGCTATAATCCAATATTAAGAGAAACTGTGTAGATACGCGCTAATAGTAATAGATTTCTTAACATCGCGCATTTTAACATATATTTCGGTCGTTAGCTCCTAGATAAGTCACATTTTATCATAAGAACCGAAGTTCAATACTGGGGCATACTTTGTAACGTCACGAGTGATGAACAATTGCGCTTTTCTGTAAAATTCTCATAATGAAAAGACGTCAAAAAGCTACATGGGACATTTTTGTACCTTTTTCTTTCGCATCGTTTGACAAGTTATCATGTTTGAAAATGTTTGAAATTTTCCACGATCAAAATAAATTAAAAACCTATTTCTAAAATGTTTTTATTTTGATATATTTCTTAATTTTAATGCGTGCACGTGATGGCTGGATTTCAAGTTTACGCATTTTTAAGCTAAAAATACTAAATGGGACATTTTTCGTACCCTACATATCATTTGATATTTAAGAAATTAAAAGGAAATTTAATATTTTTTCTTCAGATTTATTAATTTTAGCCAAAACCTTGTTTCTAATTTTAATTTCAGCCTTTAAAAATAATTAATTCTAAAATAAATGGCATTTTGCTTAACTAGGGGTCGTCAAAATACCCAGCGTGACGGCCTTTGGATTTTGTTTGAAGTTGAAAAATCAGCGTCACCTTCCATTGTTACCTTAAAACTAATGACGTCATAATAAAGATCATTGTTTCAGAAAGTGATTCATACCTGTCTCATCAAAATTGATGAAAAAATAATGATTCTACATCATTTTGAAAAATAGCGCGCTCCTAAAATGTTACGCGTGACGGCATATTTCTAACGTTTTGGCCCACGAAGGACGCTCTAAAATGCTCTAAAATGAAAAATTCCATGTAAAATATACAAATGAGGTTTTAGAGGGTACCTATACGAAGATTTTGATATATAACATGAGTATGTTCGCTTTCCGAACTTTCCCGATATTTACATGGTAAGAACATGGAACGTCAAAATTTGAAATATGCCCCAGAATTGAACTTCGGTTCTAAACGAGTGGCTTTATGTGGCTTTAGTTCCCATTTATGCTGAATGAGTGGCTTTAAGATACCAGTAGAGTGTTACGTCGGGCCCTGGGGAACTGAGGAATTCTCATGGAAAAACAAATCATACAAACTGTCTTCACCCGTCATGTAAAATAGCCCAACATTCTTGGCGGAGTGTTTAAATGTGAATTATATAAGTGTTTATTTATCTATTCCTCAAGATTTCAAGCCGCGCTGGAACATTTGTTCTGCCATATGGTATGCCTCTTTGCATGTATTCCCAGTATAACATAAGATGTAGATTTTAATCAGTTAAAGATATCTTTTACAAAATCCCTGCGATATATATACAGGAATAGAACGGGAGATATTCTATACAGACATCGAGTAGAAGCGGAAAGGGTGATTCGTTGGGGTAACTGGCCAAAGGAAGATCAAATGGAAGTAGGTTATGCAGATATTGGCGTGAGGAAGGAAGGGATGAGCAAATGAACTCAAGTGTTATAGCGAACAATTCTGATTTCAAACGAGCTGTATTCGCTTCAGAAAAACATTTCAAGAAAATAAAAGACATCTTTTTAGTGCTTACTTTATTGATATGTAGTAGTAATTTAGATAACGGAATCAAGAAGATGCAATATACAAAAAGAAAATATTACTTTGTGTAACAGTTTTTGAAGTGAAGAACTTTGAAATATCTTCTGGTATTCATCGTTCACGTTTGCTCTCGATCTTCATTCGTTTGCCAGATGGAAAGCTTCTCTAGTGTTGAAATAAAGAAGACAAAATAGTCGAATTAATGAATGACTTAGGGGTGCTAGAATTGCAATCAATTAATTTAGCAAAGTGCTGATGTCAGTACGGACATAGAGCCTGTGCGTGTGGTAGTGGTTTGTAGCGAAGTAGAACGCAAAAAGAAAGAAAACAGCGAGCGTTGTATAAACATAAAAATACCTCAAATATCTGATAAACTGTACAGAACACATGACGAAACTTTAAACCCCAAACAGTTGAAAGATACTACGAATTAACAACATGTTGACGTTGCGAGGATTATTTTTCCTTGCGTTTTTGCAGATTGACACGCTTTTGAACTGCTTGGCTGTAAAAGGTAAACTCTACAATAACCTTAGATCAAATCGAATACCACAGGATGATACAGATGAATTCTATCACCGTAGAAAACCTGTAGAAGACGTCTCATTCCACGTTTCCGCTCCCCCAAGGAAGAAACATTTACGGCAAAAACGATTGAAGCGTATTATTGGACGTGATTTGAATATGAAATATGCATCATTGGAAAAGCCGCATTCGTTAGAAAGTGAAAATAAACTAAAACGATTTAATAATATAACTATATATGATGATGGGAATTTTATAGAAATTGACGTTTCGTTAAAACATGACCTTGAGCTTTGGTTACCGAGGAGAGGTAGATGTGAAATAGTTTACGAATGGGAAGACCTTGGATTGATGTTTTGGCCTCGTTGGATTAAAAGAGGGCACTGTGATACGTCAATGTCATGCTCTATTCCAGCTGGAATGCACTGTGTACCTAAAGAGAGTAAAACAATCATGATTTTACGTTGGCATTGCCAAACAAACCACCTTGGATATACTCTCAAAAAGAAACAACGCCTTCAAGCTAAAAAAGGACACGTCGGATTACGTCATAAATCACAACGAAAACGAGGGCGTAAAGATCGAAATAAAGGATCGACAGGGAAAGATGGTGAATCTAAAAGAGACCAAAAGAAACGTCGAAGAGAGAGAAACGCATTCAAGAGACGGGGCATGAGTTGTAAATGGTTGAAGGTTCCCTATCCAGTGACGTCAGACTGTTTTTGTTCCTGTTAAATTGTACATGTACATACTGCATTTCAACATGTTCTTTAATATCAGGCGAACTGCACGAATTATCGTCCAAAAATTTACGAATCGAATTTTTACCAGATGGCTATTACATACAAATACATTTACGTGTATTACGTGGCGTATATCGATATTTCCTGTTCCCTGTTTTTGTGAGATATTGGAAATGTTTGATCCAAATAATGGATTAACATAGATTTCTTCGTGTACGACGTCAAAGTGTCTCATTTTATTGTCAAAAATTATTGTTAGGAAACCATTTATGTTTTATACAGCAGGCTTTTTAATTCACAGTGAGATATTTGTCAACAATTGTGTAGAAAGGTGAAGCCGTGATATGACGTTACCTTTCCATATAGAAATAAGCTAACAAAGTCAACCAGCGTGACAGAACCTTTTTTCGAAAAATAAATCTAGCGTTGTGTGACGTAGTACATCATTAAGTTAGCAAAGTCAACCAGAGTGAGCATGAGGATCCATCTTTCGAATAAAATAAATCAAACGACAAAATGATAACAAACCAACCTAGACATCTATCGAATGTATTTGAAAAATAGGTAAACTCAGAATACTAGGGTTAGGTCAGAATACTTCGTCAATAGTCGGAATACTTGGGTAGCCAAGAACACCTGGGCCTCCACAGACGTTTGTATGATAAGTGAGGAAAGTAAATGGTTTGGTTTATGTTGATGAACGATCTAATGTTGACAGAGTCCCACTTGGCCTACCAATATTAACCAGAGCAAACCGTTCTTCTTTGCCTCCCTTAAAAACTCGTTTTTGCTTAACCTCCTTAATACACCCTTGGTATACGCAGCTAACGAAAATTGACCGGTACGGGTCAAAAGCTGGACCGGCACGGGTTAACGGTTTTACTTGAATTTAAAACAGCCATAACTTGCTCAATATTGACTTCCTCGTGTCTAATTTGAAATACATGATGCCTCCCGATGCTTTTAAGTACCCCAATTTTTTACAGATTTTTAAACGGACCAAAACTCTCTAAATGCGCATTTCTAAAGAATTTCATCCTGCTTGCAGCGAGAAGACGGACCGGTTCGGGGCAATCTGCTTGCAACGAGAAGACGGACCGGTTCGGGGCAATAGCTGATGAAATTCTTTGTCACAAAGTTTGGCATTTTTTATAAAATCAAACGCGCGTCATTGAAACTCACAAGATGTAAATAGCATGTCATTTACATCATACCTTGATGGGGAAAAATAGATCTTATATGTTTGAAGTACTAAATAAAAGTTATCGTGAAAATGAGACAGTCGTTCTCGAGAGAAAAGAGCATAAATGCGCATTTAGAGAGTTTTGGTCCGTTTTAAAATCTGTAAAAAATTGGGGTACTTAATAGCATCGGGAAGCATCATATATTTCAAATTAGACACGAGGAAGTCAATATTGAGCAAGTTATGGCTGTTTTAAATTCAAATAAAACCGTTAACCCGTGCCGGTCCAGCTTTTGACCCGTACCGGTCAATTTTCGTTAGCTGCGTATACCAAGGGTGTTAATAGGCCAGCTTATTCGTTCTACTATACCCGGCCTGTGTCCCACCATCAATAATTAATTCCACAAATACAAATGTACACAACTAAATAATTGCCAAAGACGCAAACCATTGACGGCAGTTTTAAATAAAAGTGATAGACTAACTATATTATTTTACATATTGAATTGTTTTTGCCATGTTATCGTTAATAATGTTTTTATAATCCCGTATTATATTTTATATTATCCAGCACAGTATTCTCATTATTCTCGTTTGTTAAATAAACAAAGTTAGATGATCTGCAGAACAGGAAATCGGTTTCTTATCATACTTATCTTGTACGATTGTAAATTCCGTAAAAATGTTTCAACAAGGTACGCGAACTGATTAGATTATATTGGGTATTATTGTCTGTTACAATTATAACAATTTTTTATGTTCTTAAATAATCCCGATATCTATATATACAATTCACATTTTGGAAATAAATGCCTAAATGAACCACAGGGATTGTATGTACTGTATATTTGATCATATACATGTAAGAGTGGAGTAAATGTGTGATACGATAGGGCTGGTTGTGAAACGGCTAAAAAGTTTTATAAATGAAATAAATCTGAGGTCTTTTAAAGATGGCGATAGGTCCGTGAAACACATAAATATATAAGATATGAACTTGAACGATCATCACTTGGTAAATTGTAAGTTTAAGTGGATTTGTATGTGTTATCTCAGTCAATTTAATTGTTTGATAAAAATAAAAATGATGATATTAAACTTTCTCCATGTTGATGTTTTGATTTACTTTTTATCCCACGATTATTGTGTTATCTGACCCAGTCATATTTCTGATATTATGGAGATCGTGATATTTTTTTCAGAAAATTGTTTATCAGCCCCATACGCGGCTGATATAATTTATCCGTACGAATTTCAATTTTAGATTTTTATGAATTTTTGATCGTAATCATTGGATAAACCTAATATCAAATCATTTCTAGTGATATCATTTTATTGTCTCGTAGATATCAGATATCAGCTTTCATTCGCTCCCGCACTCGCGTTGCTATTTGAAATCGCTCAAAATAATTTGATTTCTGTACATAGTGATTTCTTTCAATCACGTAGAGCTTCACCAGACTTCTCAAAACAATAATTAACCTACATACACTCTTCTCCAAACCCGAAAGTCTTCATTTGATATGATAGCGTATATAATGTTATATTTAAATATTCTAATCTTAATTTCGTTCCTTTAATGCTATTAGTTAACAATGCAGTAAAACCAGTCTTATTTAACACCTCTCTCTTGTGAACACCTGTCTCTCGTAGACACCCTTCCTCCGCAAATCATACTCTACTGACTTCGGTATACATTACTCTCTCTGTAGTGAACACCTCTCTCTTATGAACACCTGTCTCTCGTAGACACCCTTCCTCCGCAAATCATACTCTACTGACTTCGGTATACATTACTCTCTCTGTAGTGAACACCTCTCTCTTATGAACACCTGTCTCTCGTAGACACCCTTCCTCCGCAAATCATACTCTACTGACTTCGGTATACATTACTCTCTCTGTAGTGAACACCTCTCTCTTATGAACACCTGTCTCTCGTAGACACCCTTCCTCCGCAAATCATACTCTACTGACTTCGGTATACATTACTCTCTCTGTAGTGAACACCTCTCTCTTATGAACACCTGTCTCTCGTAGACACCCTTCCTCCGCAAATCATACTCTACTGACTTCGGTTTACATTACTCTCTCTGTAGTGAACACCTCTCTCTTATGAACACCTGTCTCTCGTAGACACCCTTCCTCCGCAAATCATACTCTACTGACTTCGGTATACATTACTCTCTCTGTAGTGAACACCTCTCTCTTATGAACACCTGTCTCTCGTAGACACCCTTCCTCCGCAAATCATACTCTACTGACTTCGGTATACATTACTCTCTCTGTAGTGAACACCTCTCTCTTATGAACACCTGTCTCTCGTAGACACCCTTCCTCCGCAAATCATACTCTACTGACTTCGGTATACATTACTCTCTCTGTAGTGAACACCTCTCTCTTATGAACACCTGTCTCTCGTAGACACCCTTCCTCCGCAAATCATACTCTACTGACTTCGGTATACATTACTCTCTCTGTAGTGAACACCTCTCTCTTGTGAATACCTGTCTCTCGTAGACACCCTTCCTCCGCACATCATACTCTACTGACTTCGGTATACATTACTCTCTCTGTAGTGAACACCTCTCTCTTGTGAACACCTGTCTCTCGTAGACACCCTTCCTCCGCACATCATACTCTACTGACTTCGGTATACATAACTCTCTCTGTAGTGAACACCTCTCTCTTGTGAACACCTGTCTCTAGTAGACACCCTTCTTCCACAATACTCTACGGACTTCACGTGAATAAATTGAACATTTACCAACACTGAACGTTTTTTCTCGGCAAAAATGTTCAATATACACAGGTTTTACTTCAGTGGCTTACGGACAACTCATCCCTGGACCACTTAACTCCAAATAGTCTTTGACAAATTTCATGAACCTTTAGAAATTGGAAAACACGTGTAGGCTTTAATATATGATTCAAAAGGGGGCTTCCGGTTGTCAACCTTATGGGGGGGGGTGTAACTATGGATACGAATTAAGTATCGTGAATTTGCACCGTCACTCTTGTTATCTGATAATAAAATAAATAGTTTAGCTTAATTGGTCTCTTCAAAATCGCCATATACGAACTAACGCGAAACGTGTTAAAGGTATGAACGTGAAGGTAATTAGATAAATAAATAAAAAAAATATTAATTTACATTTTCCGAAATTACTGCTTTAAAGCTCACAACCAATCGTTTCACATAGAGTTGTTGCAGACAGCTTAAGTGTACAATTAGTAGCCTTGTATTGTCCCATAAGAAATTTTACCGAAGAGCATATCGTCGAAAACAAACGGTTGTGTCAAATGTGGGAGTTGTTATGAATTTGTCTAGAATCTCTCATTTGGAGAAATAAGCGGCAAATGGAATAACTCCAGTGAATATTAATCAGCTTTTTATGAGACGTATCCGCATCCTTGGGGACCATTTTCGACAATGTATCAAAACAGGGACGCCCCCAGATACCCTAGTTCATGAATGAGTATCGTTCTAAAAGATCTATGAGTGAGATAAAGAATATATGGGATTTGAAACTCTTCGATTATTTATTACACTCTGCTATACATGTACTTGGGGGTATCAGTATTGACGTCATTGTCAAAATAAAATTGTTTAAGGAAAACGTGTGCGTTCTACTTTTTGTTTTATCACCATTTATTTCAATTCATGTTTCCTTTATCATTTTTATGTACTATTGAGAGTATTTTTTTCATGAGTTGATAGTTACATAAGATAGTTTATCATTTTTATGTCGTACTGAGAATATGTTTTCATGAGTTGATAGTTACATAAAATAGTTTATCATTTTTATGTAGTATTGATAATATGTTTTTATGAGTTGATAGTTACATAAAATAGTTCATCATTTTTATGTAGTATTGAGAATATGTTTTCATGAGTTGATAGTTACATAAATTAGTTTATCATTTTTATGTCGTATTGAGAATTATGTTTTCATGAGTTGATAGTTACATAAAAGTTTATCATTTTTATGTAGTATTGAGAATATGTTTTCACGAGTTGATAGTTACATAAAATAGTTTATCATTTTTATGTAGTATTGAGAATATGTTTTCATGAGTTGATAGTTACATATTATCATTTTTATTTCGTATTGAGAATATGTTTTCATGAGTTGATAGTTACATAAAATAGTTTATCATTTTTATGTAGTATTGATAATATGTCTTCATGAGTTGATAGTTACATAAAATAGTTTATCATTTTTATGTAGCATTGAGAATATGTTTTCATGAATTGATAGTTACATAAAATAGTTTATCATTTTTATGTAGTATTGAGAATATGTTTTCATGAGTTGAGAGTTACATATTTAAAGACATATTCAAATAGATTTAATACTACGAAAATGTAACATATAGGGTAGCTAATGAGATTTCCTGTGTCAAATTGATTAATTTTGTAAAGATCCTCGTTCTTATGTAAACCAATGGGGAACGAAATTACTTGGCATCTATTCACAAAAACGGTCAAATATAATGATGGGGAAAATTAAATGATTGAAAATTCAATAATATTTTGTTTTCAATGTATATATTAATTATATTCTAACGATGTATAGGATTTAAATTGAAAATAATTTGAGACCGTCGGTTGACATCATATTGGTCTACCATAACGACCAATCACATAGATTGTTATTCAATCATTGTTTTGGGTACATCTGTCCAAGTTTCAAGAAGATTGGTTCAATGAGTATTGAAATGGCTGCATCACTTCTGGACCACCCTGTATATTTTTTAAAATAACTAAACAGGTTAGTGGTAATATATTTGTCCTCTAGGATTTTACGTAAAATGCATTTTTGTAACGGTTTTATATCATCAAAAATATGATTCCCAGTCGAATTTGGATCTCTTGTTTTAGATCCATGTCGCATCGATTTTAGTAGCTCTTGAGAGGATAGCTCTATCTGTTCTGCACTGATCACTTTCTAGCTTGCCCCAAAGGAAATACGACCATAATTAAAACGTGTATGGTATCAGACCAAATCCCTACAATGGGATATCAAGGTTATCTTCCCAATTTCCCAATCATGTGATGACACAAATGAAATTACCGACGCTTTAAAGTTAATTAATGTTACTAAAACGGTGTTTCACTTTGAAAAAAGTAGCTTACATCCGTTGGGCCATCGCCATTGTACAGTCTATACCTTGTTAACCTTGAGTTGTTAACTTCTTATTTTGACAGACTAAAGCAATTTAAGAATCTGCATCTATACAATCGAATAATAACTTGTACTACCAGCTATTTTAATTAGGTGTCATTAATTAAATATATCCGAGTAATCATCCTGAACGTATTGATTACTGCTAAACCGAAATGGCAATTGATCTGCTATTCAAATATGTGTCTCAATGCCCTTGTAATCTCTCTGAACTAACATTCATTGCAGTTGGTATCACATTCCTTTCAATTGGCCCCAGAAGCTTCGATTTTTACTGTTCAACTCAATCTTATGGTATAGTACTTGTAATAACTCTTGAATTGTTATATTCCACTTACATATAATATGTTATAGAATATCTGCTGTTTCTGCTAAACCTATTTAGATAAGCTTTATGTCTGCCAATAGTATCAATTAAGATGTAATTGTCGCTAATGAAAACACTGACAATAGTTGCGTATAAGTCAAAAAGAAATTATTTTTAATTAATTGTTGAAAACATAAACTTAATTTTACTTTGACCACTTGGATAGAAGTTCGAAAAATCTAGACGGGATGCAGAATGGGAAACAGTAGGAAATGACTAGCTGTAAAATCGAAAAATATCTTAGAATCGCGGTCTGTAAATTTTTAAATAGACGATATGTATTGAACCTTTATGATCAATATACCAAATTTCAAGAGTAGCGGCCAACTTTGAGATACAAAGGCCCATACAATCCCCCAAAGCGTTAGTATTGGGAAATCGAGTTGGACAGATTATATTTTGTTTCTAAATTTGATTTTGGGTCTTATAAACTTTATCCTCCCTTTGAAACCAGAATTAATGATTTTCTTTTTTACTTCTAGAACATTATCGAATTATTGGTTACGCAATAAGAAACATATCACCTGAATCAACATCTTAATTAAAACGTACAAAAACACAAGTTGAGATTTACGCCCCAAACCAATAAGAATATCAAAATATGATATGTTCCTGACAGAATCAGAAATCGTAGCACTGAAACAAAAGTAAATCAAATCTTGCAATAGCTCAGTTCAACGAATTCAAGAGATGTCGATATATTCGATCAAATTGTATGTTGAATTGTGGACATTCCTTATTACAATTCAAAACACGGCGTTGCCTTGGGAATTCATGTCACAACAAAGGATCCCCGATCTATGATGAGATGTGTGAATAAAAGATTCAGTTCAATAAAACCAAACTATTGGATTTTTCGTCCATTGTTATCTTGGTGTTATAGTTTTTGACCACCTATTTTTACCTCAGAAATGTTCATATCCAAAATCTATTTATCTTTTTTCTTGAAATTTTCATGTTTTTCTTAGATTGATATGTCCCGAGACAAATATTTGTCAATCAGCTCATTTACAAAAATGTCGGTCATCTATCACATGTTATTTGTGGTATTATTAATGATAATGATGTATCTTCAACAGTCTTAAATCTTCAATGTTGATTTCCATCTCTTTTTCTCTTTTTTCTCTTTTTCTGTCATTCGTCATTTGAGTTATCAATTAAAAAGTTGTCATTATCTGAGATATCGTAAGAATGGTATGCTCCCCCCCCTCATAAGTTTTTACTTTACAATAGTTTGAAAATGCATGACACAGTACATTTAATTAAAAAGCTTTGCTTAATACGTGATCCAAAAGGAAACTTCCGGGTGCAAAAAGAGGAGGTGTAAGTTGATTGTCACAAAATGTATACCTGAATAGGGAGGGGGGAGGGGCGTACAAGAAATTGTTTATTTGTAAGTTAGAACCTGATTTGGGGTATTGGGGATTGTTTTTTCATGAATGGTATCGGTTGTGATCTTAGTCTTATCTCCATTTTTTCTCAATGTGTTTCGCAGCTGGCTTTGGATTTTGGATTGCTCTTGGATTCTCTTGAGGCACCTCGGCTTAAATTGTCAAAGGACACGGGGCAATTAGAATTATGTGAAAGACATTCGATAGTGATGCGAAAGAAGTAGGCAAATTGGAGTTGCATTGGTTACTCTGAAACAAAGGATCGAATCCTATGCTTAGGGCAAAACAATGCCCCGCAAGATCACTCTGCTGCCAGTATTCTTCAGATTCCAAGTCTGACTGATTCCGCTACTACTAGACATAAATGTTCAGTTATATACTGTAGTATATAGATGCAAAGTGTTTTATATTGTTTCGTGCATTGTAAAACCACTTTCATTTAACAAATTTGGCACCCAAATGCAGTCCTGACAGTTTTGTCCACCGTGACTCGTGTATACGTAGTCTTTGGCCTCCAAGGTTTGGAGTTGATAGTCCAGTTATCATTGTTAAAATCTCTTCTGCCCTTTCACAATGTGTGGTGTATACCCCTTGTATAGTTTCATAGTGGGGTAGCATGAGTTTGTGTGGCTTTGAGACCAAATGAAGTTTGAATTCAAAATGAAGTTGGAGAATTGCAGCTGTTTCTTGGCTGTGTCTGAGATGAAATTTATGACTATTGAACCGTGGCGACATAACAATTACAATGCCAAATGTCATTATTTTACTTGGTGACACCATGCTGAATGAATTATATATAATTATGATAACTCAAACATTTTGATAATTTAAAAGAAAGAGATTAATAAAGGTATATAGCACTTGAGCTTTTCGAGCACCCTCGAACTATTGCATGTAGCAAAACTATGCCAAGCTGACATTTCAGAGATTGCAATAAATGTACAATTGAAAATAATTTAAATAAAATGACTTTTGACATAAGCCTTGATAATATATAATAACACTGACATAACAAAAACGTTCTCGGAATAGCTACGCATGTATTGATGGCAATGCCGGAAATATGAGGATACATTTGCAAGTCAATATTATGTGGAGGTGAACATGACAATATCATATTTTTAATTTACGTAATAATACCCTATTAGATGAGGAAAAGACCTTGGATAAAATATTGAAATCTAGAAAAAAAGGAATACATGTACGCTTAAGGTCAAATATATCGACTTAGTATTGTGGTGACTGTATGGCCAATTCGAATCCAATAAAAACCAATAGGCACAACAATCTTATCTTGAATTTGGAGGGAATTGGATTCCAATATTGATTCCTTGATGATAAATGCGCGACAGAAACTCTAAACTCCCTGAAATTGGCATCGTTACCAAAAGAAACACTTAGCGAAATGAGACAACCATCTTGGAATCAAAATTCACGACATGTAATAAAGACTTGGAGAAGATGTTAAAAATAGTATCAAAGTGAATGGCGAAGGGGAATTAATTTAACATATGCCTGTGCTTCTACTTTATATTGTCCAATCTGAGATGATAATTCTTGTTATGAAGTCCAAAGAACACTTAAATGAAAGATCAATGGGCAAACTTTTGATTCCCTGTGGAATTTCCCACTGTTTCTATTAACTCAATCACAAAATGGACCAATCCGCGAAAATAACTAATCAGGTTTAGCAATCGAATTTAGTCGATGTAGACAAATATCAATTTTCAATGCACACTTCGCCAGAAAGAGCATTGACTTCCTACCGATTGCGCAACCAATAAATAATCAACACTCCGCCAATCTTGCAATGACAAATCGAATAAAAGTGACGTCAGCCTAATTAACATATATCGATACGCGGTCGATTTTGGGCAATGTCGGAATTCCTTTGCGGGATCGGGAGACCTTCCATTTAAGTTAAGACACCGATTGACACAGGACTTGTGATTGATTTGGCGCTGGAATAATAGCTGAATATTACGCTGCTAAGACACGAACTCTTCCAGGTGAAAAAACATCATCAAACATACTTGACAACTTTTAAGGGTCCTCAATACAGAGAAAACGAGGTTTCGCGATTAGAAAAGATTTCTTAGTTTCTGATTTAGCTCATTAAGACACGACTAGCATTAATCAAGATTGCGTTTATTACCATCTTCAAAAGATAAAAAGCTTCTCGATAAAGTTTTACCATGTGCTTTTCTCGCTCCATTGCAGGCCCCCTCTTCCACGTTTGATGTATCCCAGAGTGGACTAGTCGTAAATGAGGACGACAATTTTCAAATATTCTCAAGGATTCGGATATCGTACGTTCGTCCATAACAACAGATGTTGAAAGGTAATTATACTTTTAAATTGTTTTTCATTAAATAAGTAAATTAATATGAAAGTTAAATCGAAAATGAATAAATTAATAAATAAATTAATAAATATATTTTTGAGATTAACTTTCTGCCGATTATAAAACGAAGAGGTAGGGAATAAAATACCTGATTTTCGGGAAATCATTACTCGTTATTATAATGAAACCTACTTGTCTATATTACGGACGGTCCCGGGCAGACGGTCCATAATGCTGACGGAGACATTCGTTCAGAATGTATGATAAAACCCTTTGGGAGTGGTTCACTAATAAATACAAAAAATTGAAATTGACATAAATTCTGACAATTCTAATAAATACATAGTGGCTGTACCAGTGAATGCACCGGTAAACTACACTTCTTGTCTCAAGTGACACATTCATTCATATTTTATTAAAGGACTGTCATTCAAATTAAAGAAAACTGAGTTTTGTAAGAAAGTATAATTGTTAATCAAGGGCATGTATATCCTCAGGCGAAATGTAATTGGGAAAGACAATACCAACGATAGATAAGATTTGAAAATAGTATCACTTTGTGTGTCTAAAAGGATACTATATCCAAGACGCTTGTGTGATAGTAATAAGAACATTTATGACACATTAAAGGATGAATATCATAATTGGGAAATGTTTTCAGTCTCCTAATGAAACAAGTTCGGACCATTGTTTTTTCTTAGTTACTTTAAAGAAGAACTGGCATAGCGACGCTTTTGGCTATTTGAACATTGTATAATCAGTTGACGCAAAATTGATCCTCCGACTAAATCGACACGTTTAATGCTAGTAAAGATGATGACTCGAATCTAAACGTACTTGTTCATAATAGTTACGAACTTTTCATGCACATTTCCAAGATTTTTTTCTTACGAGAAAATTTAGCCCTTGGTTATTTCTTGGATATAATTTGGTGCAAATACAGGTTAAAATGGCAGCGTGTCTATTTTTTGTAGTCCTTTCTGTCTTCACTTTGAATCGCTCTATCTTATTGTAATAGAACGACAACTCTGACATTATACACGGGGGTGATACATTGATCAGTTTAAGAAATTCCAAGACATACACGAAGTATCAAAGATCTTATTGAAGCCTAGCAACGCATGTGAAAAATTATTTGTTCCAGCAAAAATATCAATTATTCAATAAAATAGTTCGATTGCGACACTGGGTAGAATCCAGAACTATTGACATTTCCTGACGTGGGAACACACACCTGTATATGGGGCTTGATAGGGTAGCTTGTCATGCTAGTAAAATACAATGTCAGTGAGCGCATACAACGTACATGTACGCCTAGAGAAACTTCTAGAAATAATGTGTCATGATATAATGATTTTAGATCGACCCCCCGACAAGACGGTTATTTATGACATAAAATATCAATACGCATGCCAGTACCCAGTTTTCATGGAGGGGTTTCGGATATGTTTCACAAGGGTGTGTCACAACTCACAAGGCAATTAAAAAATATGCTCAAAATTAAAGAATATCACTTTTGAAAAGACATAAACTTATTTTTATATCAACCCATATACTGTTGCTCTTTAGGAAAATTTAAAGCAAAGCAATGTTCAACTATCCTGCTACAACTTATGCGCACTGCTTTAGTGCATTTAAATTAGAAATTTTGGTCTGTGCATTTCATACTTAAAATGATTAAATAAAATTGACATATTGACCTACTTTCACTTCAAAGGGTCATCAAAACTTTATAGAGAGTTTGAAATTCAAAATGTTCGATCCGCATGTGATCGCTAACAAAATCTCTCTAAAACATTCGGAAAGTATCTATTAAGTAGAGTAGATCAGCTTTTTATCCGAGATTAACACGAAGCAACAGAAGATATCCAAATCAAGAGATGGCCGCGGATCATTAACGTTGATTCTTCGAAAAACGTTGCGTCTCTACTTAACTATAACTGTTAATAGTAGTTATCATATATTATAAATAAATTTGAATTCTATATAAAAAAGGAAAAAACTACATAATTCTTTACTATTACTTTATATTCGTTCGGGACTTGAACTCGCGACAAATATTCCATACATGAGGCAGAATAAAGACAAGTCTACCAGGTAATTAGGGACGAGATATGCCAGATGCATTCTTAACCAAATAGCAAGTCTGATCAAGCGGCTTCTTGGCTTAGAAAGATCAATTCCATCTCGGCATATTAAGCACAATAACTCAATCAAAGTTATGTATTTACATAAAGCTTATTCAATTTAGAGAATTACAATCAACGTTGGTGTACGAACTAACAGAGATATTGGTAATCATGGCAATTCCCGGAAGACTCCACTTTCCTATTTTCGTGCTCCGGACGGAAACCATTGACTATGTTTTCAAAATTATCCGTTAAATGAGTTCCCACCGGAATCATTGAATACTTCATAAATGGCCCCAAGGTAGAAGTATAAACAGCATATATCACCAATGTCGAACGATGGATTCCGATATATCTCGTAGTTGTTACTGGAAAGACATCGATCTCTAATATAAAGTAAATATTTGCAATTGTTACATTTTTTCTAAAGAGCAACAAAGAAAGGAAAAGTTCGTTGTTATAAAATAATTAAGCCTTCCAGACGTTGACATGCGTATTTGAGAGATTGAATCGAGATGATGCGCCTTTCGAAATCAACAAATTCCCTTTAGTTAAGTTCTTGAAGAAAAAACAACCTACGTTGTGGCGTTTGGTTCACTTGGAAGGCGTTCGTATTCAAATCTATTGATCCATCTATTTGCCCATGATAGATTATAAGATATGTCTGGCCCATGGGCCTCATCCATATATAAGACAAAATTAGCTGGGAAGCCATTTATTAATTTTATTCGTCTGCAGGATATAGAATTCTTCACTTCATTGTAAGGTTATGAGCATGACACCAATCGGATACATACAACATTTTAAAAGACATGGTACATTGATATTTATTTGTTGACAGCGTATTTCAATTAATTACTTCTTCCATGTGTTTGGTATTACTGTTAATCTATTGCTAAAAAGAATGTTCAATATTAAATGTTACGTAATGGGAGGTTTTGGCGTTTATTCCAAAAGATTATATATATTCCCTAGGGTTCGCATAGAACGAGAAAAATATGTATATTTCCCGAAGAAATATATCCAAAACCGCTGAACTAAAACTCTGTACCAAGAGCGACTTTTTCGTACATCATTAATTTTCAATTCACATAAAAATGATGAAAGTTAAATCATAAATATGGTTGAAAATGTCTAATATATAAATTTCGCATCCCTTGTTACCCGACTAAAACCATACAACGATGGATGGGTAAATTATGGCATAAATGAAATTTACAGTATTTGGGCTACATCATGTACTGTGTGAAAATGTCGCTTACTTACTTTAATTTTAAGCTTTCCCCAATCGGGAAACAATTGCGGTATTTTTCAATTAAATGAATGTGCCAAAAGTAAATGGTTTTCTGTAAATTCTATCAAACGAATTCTCATTTTGAGAATAGAAATAATTGATATGATCTCCAAACTTAACTGACCACCAACAATGACAATAAAATCAATATCTACCATTTTCTCCTAAATTTGAATTCTCATCTTGATACTTATGGGACCCACGTGTGCTTCGGCGTTAAGATTCAAAATGTCTGTTTGATTGCTTTGCCCTCTACTTCAAGAAGCTTTAAAGTGCTTTGACTAATCTGTTTTTCTTTAGTTTGGGAATCATTTATAAGAATTCAGACATTCTCAATTTGAGAACCAGTTGGGACCAAATTGATATGGTCTTCGGGAACTGGGTTATTATTCTCCCCAATTATAGAAATACCATCTGTGTTTCACTTTGCGTACGTATACATACAAGTATAAGCATTGCCTGTCGGTTTATATTAACCACTGGGCTTCATGTCAAAATTTGAACATTTATTAGCTTTGAGCCTAACGTTCTGTTGCAAATCTTCGATAAGGAGCGTGATTGGATTTCGCGTTGTCAACCGCCATACACATTGGCAGAACTTTCCAGTAATTATTCCCTAAGGAGTCTAACTTCATTAGGCCTATTTTCCACAACCATCCCTTAATGAAATTATCATAGGATTACAGTGCGGCAATCTTTCTCTAGCCGCTCAACTGTCAGTGTTCTAATCAGATTGTTAGGTGAAAAATAAATAGGATCATCTACTACGTATGTCTTATTAGCTCAATTCAGGTCTCAATTGCATAAAATAGCGTGAAAATCTCCCAGTCGTGATTGATTAAACATTTGGTCTGTAAATCTCATCCATCCGCGCACTGCTCGGAATAAAACCAATTCAAACACGAATGGGCTCAGTGGAAGGAAAGCTGTCTCCAAATATGTTATTCTTCTCTATCATATATCAACTATTTATTAATGTTTAGGCCTATTTAATTTAATTTTCTGATAAAATTGTGTCTGTGAACTAAACATGAAAAAGAAAAAGTATCATCCTACTTCCAATTTCAAACTCACTTTAACATTGCAGGTATGAGAAAAATATCATGTTTAAGTGATCGTAAGGATTTAAAAAAGAATTAAAATGGTGTGCCATGGTTTTCAAAAAATTACAGAATTATTAAATGAATCGTAAACAGAAATTATGTTCTCTTTTATGTCTTTTCTCCTATAGTCCTGGTATCGTTAAATGGAGTTCTGGTGACGGCCATATTGGAATACTAAATTCAAAATGGCAGCTCTCGGTAGGGTATACAAATATATATTTAAAAGCTATCCTAAATCCCAAAATATGAGTGGCAATAGTTGAAATCCATGAGCAAAACGAATAGGGAAATATTTTAGTTTATAATGAATACCATAGAATTGCACAAATATATTGAGGATTTTAAATCATTTAAAATTGCGTTCCTGGAATTTTCACAGTATTATCGTTTATGGGAGATCACCGTTATTAAAGGATTTAAGCCCTGGACACTGGGCATTGTTTGCTGAATCATACCATGAAGGTTTTGTTTCCAAACCTTTGCATGACCGCGCAGCGGGAATGCAAAGTTAAGGAAACAACGCCTTGGAGTGGAATGAAGCAGCTACAATGCATTGAGTTTTGGGCTTAAAATCTTTTCACACATAGCATTTTTCAATAGAATCATCTAAAAGGAACGAAATCACTAAAAGAACACATTTTCAATGAAATCTTTTGCAAGGGTCAAGTTGGCAAGTCATCAAATCCAATGTGAAAATCCATTCATCACCATGACAACTGTTTAACTAGTGACCTTGCATGTGTTATTGATATTTCACACACTATTCATTGTGTGAATACTCTGTTCGAATTGGCTGGAATCGGACACGCCTTGCCTAGCTATGTGTGAATACATAACAATCGTTTTATTCATGTTATATAATTATCTCGCACATTACATTTACAAGCAAGGTTGGCACTAGATACCCACAATAAGGGGGTAATTCTAATTTCATAAACTATGATATTGATTGATTGATTGAGTTATTGATTGATTGGTTGATTGAAGCAGGCTTATATATACAGTATTAAATTAGGACCATTTTCAAACTGCGATTGCAATTAGTCTAAAAATTATAGCTATATACGATATAGTCTGTAGCAGCATATGGGGAAACTTTATCTTGGAGATATTTGATCATCCATTTCCAACCCATTATTACTTGCTGGGAATATTGGGAGCCTCTCGTATTCGCTTGCTCAGGTGGTTTTCACCCTTGCACTTTCTAGAAAAGTGAGACCCTGCCTGGTGACGAGAATAGAATATAGAACCCGATTAGATTTCCTAATAATCTCCGTCTCTTATGTAGTATCATTAATTTACGTGTTTTGAAATAAGAAAGACACAGCAAGTTCTTCAAATAACTTTTCTTACATAACTCCATATTATTCCTTTAACATCGAATTCCAAACTTCAATGGAATAAATCAAACTGAATCGAATTGATGAATATGTAGAGATACCCTCTTATGAATGTAGATTTAGTTTTTTTAAATTCATTTTAGGGCGGATGTCAACATCTCTGGTTCAAAACAAAGTATGAAGACATTAAGTGTATCGCCCCTTTTTAGGAAGGTACATTCACAATGATCAACTTTATGTAAACCGTGTCAGAGGTCAAAACTAACTTCAGAAAATTCAAAATGGCCGCCTTTTTTCTATTTTCGAAATATCGGCTTCAAGTTTTTCAAAACACCAGATACCATAAAACTCATATCTGATTTGCCTTAAATTATGCCTGGATCACATTTGCCAGATCGGCCAGCGCCCAGCCGATTGAGTGTTTTGTTCAAATTTGTAAATGAATTTTGAACAAAATACTCAATCTGACGGGCGCCGTAGTGAAAATCGGAGCAAATGTGACCAAGGCATTAGATGTTGTATGCATGCCTTTCAGTAAAATACACTCATGCTTTCATGTTTCATTTTGAACCTGAGAATAACATGATTAGGTATATTGCATTTTTTCACAAATGTTACATTGTAAATCTACCTTAACACGTGACCTACTTGCACTGAATATTTCACTTATTCGTCTATATCCATTCTAACATCAATAATTAGTAGTTCATAGTTAGGTTTGGCGTGCAGACCAGGGACATATAGCATGTGGACCATTCTGAAATAAAAACTATTGAATGGGAAGGTGTTACATTCAGTGCAGTGAAAATGGCAAGTTTTGAAATGTCGTTTGCTTCCCCCACATCTCAAGTGTCCATCTCTTTGTATTCTTGCAGGTGGTATCATGCTATAGTCCCAACGCCAAATCTAACTACACATAGCAACAAGAGCCAAACCTAACTACACATAGCAACAAGAGCCAAATCTAACTACGCATAGCAACTAGATCAAACTACCAATAACAAGAGGGCGGCATAGGCTACTGTCTTGACATTGAACAAATCGAACCCCTGTGTCATCAAGAGGAAATAGTCAAACAAACTACTTCTAATACATCCGTATTAAGTTATCCGCAGAAGTATTGATGGAAATTCCAACATAGTACAATCATCAAAGAAAAATTAAGCTGGAAATCGAGAAAGATTTAACATTGATCAAATCTCGATTAATTTTTAATGCTGTCGATAGTGTAGGACAATAGTTCCAAACTGTCTAGCTTACTTACACAAAACGTGGATGTGTACCTATGGCCCATGGGCAACTGATAACCATAGCCCTGTTTTCTTCAACGATGCCACTGAACTACAGATCAATAATTACGAAGATCTAGACAAGAAACTTTATAAGCATTGAATCAATCGTGTCATTGCAAAACAATTGCCACTTCCGTCAGCGTGGGATTGAAAAATATAGTGTGACATTCTCGGGTTGAGCTCTGCCGCACACTCATTTGAACCATTGCCGTAGCCAATTAGCACTGCATCATTAACATATATTTCGTCTGAATCTCTCCATTGTTGTAAAATACCAAATTCCAAGATGCCTGTTATTCCAATCATCAATAAAGACATGAACGTTGTCATGGAAATGATAAAGGACAAAATTGCCGAGCCAAAATCCCAACGCAAGATCGTGTTGGTGATAGTATGCATAGCTCTATTGCTAGATAACATGCTGTATATGGTCATCGTACCTATAATACCCGCATTTCTTAGAGATATCAATGCATTTGAGAAATCGTCAACTGAGATCGAGGCAACTTCCACCCCAGCACCTACTAGTAGCTCTAGTGCATGGAACGAGACCTATACGTCTTCTTGGATCAATTTCACATCATCCCCAAAAAAGATTACGCCTTTAGTTGATTATAGCGCGGCTGAAGACACATCAGTTGGAATTCTGTTCGCATCAAAGGCCATTGTACAGCTGCTGGTCAACCCCTGCTCTGGAGCTATCATAGATAGAATAGGTTACGACTACCCGATGGTCATCGGTTTGACTATTATTTTCTTCTCTACCACTATATTTGCATTTGCCAAAAGTTTTCTTACATTATTCGTTGCAAGAGGCTTACAAGGCGTAGGATCAGCATTTGCAGATACATCAGGCCTTGCTATGATTGCCGATAGGTACACGGATAAAGCAGAGAGAACAAAGGCGCTTGGCATAGCTTTAGCGTTCATCTCATTCGGATGCTTATTCGCACCGCCATTTGGGGGAGTTCTTTATCAATTTGCCGGTAAAGAAGTCCCTTTCGTACTCTTAGCTGTGCTTGCGCTTCTCGATGGAATACTTCTCCTTGTGGTCATGAAACCAGTTCGCCAACAACGGAAAGAAATGAAACAATCAGGGAATCTCCCGAAAGGTACACCAATTTGGCGACTATTTATTGATCCCTATATCACTATTGCAGCCGGGGCGTTGGCGATGGCGAATGTTTCCTTGGCGTTCCTTGAGCCAACTATTGCCATTTGGATGAAACAAACCATGGACGCCGATGAGTGGCAAATGGGATTTATATGGCTACCAGCGTTCTTCCCTCACGTGTTGGGAGTTTATTTGACCGTTAGGCTAGCAAGCAAATATCCCAAGTACCAATGGTTAATGGCGGCTATAGGACTTGCATTAGAAGGGCTATCTTGTTTGATTGTGCCATTTGCTACAAATTTTGGCGTTCTCGTAATACCACTTATGACCATATGTTTTGGTATAGCCCTTGTTGATACTGCATTGCTTCCTACGATGGCGTACCTTGTCGACGTCCGTCACGTTAGCGTGTATGGAAGCATCTACGCCATCGCCGATATCTCCTATTCACTGGCCTATGCATTTGGGCCGATTGTTGCGGGTGGTATTGTCTCCTCTATAGGGTTTACAGCTTTAAACATTGGCATATGTGTTAGCAATGTTGTCTTTGCTCCCATTCTTATAGGCCTTAGGCATATATATGACTATGCCCCATTCAAGAATGAAGAAGATATCCTTATTGATGGCGAGACCCCGAAACCATCCTATAAAACCTATATGATGAATGATGAGTATGGATCTGGGCAGAAGGAGATTAACACACAAGAGCCAAACCATTTAGCTTACAAATCAAGTCACACTGATGATAGTGAAGATTCGGACGAAGTAATTGATACCAATTTACAGACAGTTAATGATAATCAGCCCCATGATCCTTGGAACGCACCACAACAACCTGTTAGAAGTCCGAACAATCCCTTTCGCCCACACGAAAACTCAAATAATGATTACCAAGGGTTTCGATAACCAGAGGATACCCTAGACAGTTTGCCAAATGATAACTTGCAATAATATATGTGATACAAGCTTTGTTTTATTAGTAATTCATAACCCGATTTCTTGAAAGAGCGTATTATGTCATGTAACAATAGCAATGGCAATATACTTTGTTATTTGTTAAATTTTTAATGACTTGCTTCTTAGAAGATGTAGAATGGCATTGATATGATGTTAGTTTGAAACCATTGCTTCCGTCACTTTGTGTATCTAGGTAGCGTAATGAATATATCAATATTGGAATAATAGTTTAATTACGTCTTATCTTTGTAGTCTCACAAGAAGTAGATAAAATTATCTTTAGGACCATTGTTTGTGTGTGCTTTCCCTTATAGATTCTTCCCAAGAATATGTCAACAATACTTTATTTTTGTTTTTATGAATTTGGTTTTTAATTATCCTGTATTTTTTCTCAATACTCTTCTCATCAATTTTTCTATTTTGCACCTCCTTGTTATCTTATACTTGTCATATCACATCTCTGTAACTCTATCCTTTCTTTATCACACACCCATCCTTTATCACACTCCTTATTACACTATTTACATTGCGATATGTTGCTCATACTGAACCAAATTTATTAGTTTTTCTATCTCTCTTTCATTACTTTACTCATTCTATGAAATTCTAATTTTCAGTTTTTCTGACTCTAAGGTAGTATTCGCGAATTCAACTGACGGCTGACGGTTTAACATACTTGTATATGGTCAACTCATTTAAATATGAATTGGATAATGACAGAACTATCCATATTTAAATGAGCTGTCCATAAATTAGTGGGTCAATCCGCAAGCCGGGAGTTGCATTCGCGAATACTACTTAACTTTTTTATTTGTTTGTTTTAATTTTATTTGATTTAAAGTTGACATAAACATACAATAGGTGGATAAATACAAAAATGATACTGAATAGAATATGTGTGTAGTACCCTGCGTGCAGAGTCTAGTTACAAACTACCGAAGACGAAGCTCTCTTTTAAGAAGTGAAGTTGAACGGATGCAAAGGGTATGTTAGTAGTAGAGTCAAGTTGAAATATGAGAATGATGCTGTTATTGAATCCCATTCTGAAGACCACACTCTCTTTCATTGGGAACCTTTCTTACTTTATCGCCCTCTCTATCGCTATGTTTTCCAACGCTCTATCGTTACGCTTATTCTTTAAGCTTTCCACAACTCTCGACAGTTCTACAGTTATTTTATCATGCTACCATTTCTCATTCTTCCCTGTGTATGACTTTACATTTATTTTATTTGGTACCCATCTCTCTTTTGGGCTATAATCTCTTTCGCTTATATTCGCTCTATCTACTTATCATCCTCTTCCTTTTCCTCACAATCTACATCTCATCCTCTTACTCTCTCTCTCTCATTTACTCTTCATCTCTCCCAATCGCTCTATTTCCATCTCTCTCTTTCTCTCCATCCCCTCTCTATCGCCATCTGTTCCTCTCTCGCTGTCCATATCGCAAGAAATTTCCAATTTACGAGAGTAAATAATTGGCTAAAACACTGTCAGTATTGCTAAGGAAGAATACCCAAGATTATCTGAAAATTTATGAATACAAGAGGAGTTTGGCATAATGCTACAAAAATATACTCTCCATTGTTGGGACAACGTGTGACTAATCATTATGAATGTTTTTGTTATTTTGTTTGTACGTTTTATATAAATTTTCATTTCTGTGCCACCTATGATGTAACGTTGTTGGATGGAAAGTAAAAGTATTTACTGAAAGTATATGAGTAAATATCATGACAATTCTTTATTCAGTAATGGTGTTGTTAAAAAGATAAAGTAGATAGATCGGGCCTTTCTTCTAGGTTGTGGTATATAGCACTTGTACATCATATTTACCACATTGGTTAAGAACCGTAGCTGTTGTCAAATTGATTTTCATAAAATTTATTTATCTACTCGATTATCGATAATTATGTTGTTTATGTAAGTGTCAAACAATGGAAATATCGTTAATGTACATAATTAAGTTGATTACCGTTAGCTTGATAGTGTAATTTCCGGATGTTGGTACAAATTACACTTCGATTTGGAAATATAATTATCCGTTTTGTAACAATGTGCATAGAGTTTTATTTGTTCTTAACATCCCCGAAGGTTTCTGCGTATAATGGTAACTACATCTCCCCACGGTGAGCACTTGTTTGCCATATATAGTAAAATGATAAAATACTCTCATCCCAGTCTGTCAGGTAGATGCGGGGTGAAATAAGAAAAGATCATCTTGTCTGAACTGTAAGTTTTGTTATATTTAAATGATTCAGATACTGAATCACCCACACAAAACCCAAAGGCCAAAATTAAAAAACGCAATAAACGAAACCCCGATACACTTATTAATCAATACCAACTGTATCAAACGTCCCAATTAAAAAATGGATAATCTAAAAGTAGTAAATTTTCTTTCTAGAGAACAGGAAGATGATTATATTATGTTGTATGACCATTATCAGTAACGTTCTCAACTTGAAATTTCTCATCAGTGGTTACAGTTTGAAGACAGCGAACTAAGCCAATGAATGAATAGCTTGTTAATGATGTATAAAATCCAATTCCACCAGTCAAAGGACAGCACAATTTGGAACATTATTGCCTTAATGAGCAATAGGGGCGGCTAATTTCTTTAGCTCATATAGCATCTTGGATGAATCGAAAGAACTGGATAAAACATCGGGAAATTCACTAATTTGTGTTCCATCAAGTAAACAGTTCATCTAGCAGATTTGAATTATCTTTGGGTGCAATAAGCTCATACCAACATAGAATAAAAATCCATTGAACTGAAGTCTGAGCTGAACACGTTTAGAATTGCATACGATAAATAGATCGTACGTATGCATGCCGCATCTTCACAATTCATACGCTGACCATACTCCATGAAGTAAATCGTTAGTGTTTTGGATCATCCAGCTCTCATCTCTAAGACATCGATCTTTTATAAAAATCTTCTGCAGGATTAAGCCATAAAAGACATGCATTAATCTCACAAATTCGCACATTATGACAGGCTATTAATTTGATGATACTGTTATGATCCATAATTCCTTCGCAAAGGAAAATAATCCCAGATAGTCGGAATTAATACTATTTATTCCGATTATTTTCCTATGCACTATTCTATAACTTAGCACTATTAATAGTCGTTTTTGTTTAAATACAACTACCTTTTAAATCAAAAGAAAAGCAAAAAGAGTGATTAATACCGTCAGAAAAGGCTGAAGAGTACAATCGAACATAAAGATATAAACTTCGACAACCCAATCACCGATCGTAAGTATCAAATTCAAAACACACCATCTCCCCGTCGTTCAAGAAACATTATCTAAAACTATAAGACCATGGGGGGGGGGGGCATTTCAGTCATTCTGAGCCGAGAACATTGGGGCTATATTTTTGTATTCCCTCGGTGAAAGTGAATTGCATAATATTTTTTATAAATTAGCCCTGCAGTGATCATTACACGCTCATGTGTTATCAACAAAAATAGCTCATCCAAGCGCACTTACACTCTCACATTATTCTTTTGAAAGATATCACGGTGTGTTGCAATCGAACTCCCGTAGTGCACTAGCAACTAGCCGACACTGTTGACACACACGGTTAGCCGACAGGATTGACACATCGTAATTAGCGGTGTTAGTGCGCTTAGATGAACAGTTTTTGATGAAAACGTGTGGCCATGTAATTTGCACATTATCAAATATTATGCAATTGACTTGCACCGCGGGCAGTTCAAAAACACATCCTAGGTGAAATTCTCTTTTTTTAATGCACTTGCACATTTCAAAATGTCAAAACATAATACACGTTCTGTACGATTTTTTTTAAAGAAATGTATACCATTAGTAGTTCTATTCCATACATATTTTAAAGCTCGTTTGATAAGATATTTGGAGCTAAAACATGCATGCATACATCATCTTCTTCAGAAATAATTCTACTGAGCATCGAAATCAAAATTGCCAGCATAGTATCCTACAGACATGAGTGAAATTATTTCCGTTGACACCAACATGCACGTGAACTTTCAGATTTCCCGCTCTAAACAAACACGAAACACGAAGCTTAACGGTATTTAAACGCATACAAAAGTATGCGCGCGCACACATGATAGAGGTCACCCAGAGCATGTCATCAAAATGTCAATTTTCTCTGGAAATTTTTTTTTTCAACGCGTGAAAAGCTCAACCACAATTTTATCCATACTTGGACAAGACAGCAATTTTCAACACTGTTCTAAGTCCCCGGTGCATTTGGTAACTCTTTAGATCTATTCAATGGCACATCACACTTGATGTCATATATACCAGCCTTCAATTGGACAGTTTTCAAACCCTTGAATTGTGCACGAGGGACATATTTTTCGAGATAATGTACTTTTTAATACAAGAACCCTGGAAAACTATTACGGTATGTAGTTTACACAAGGAAAAAGACGTACAGAATGTGAAGAGAACCCAACTTTTTCAACCCTAAAAGTACTACAGTGTTGAATGTATTCAAAAAACCATTGCGAATGCATAATCTTACACTCCATTTCGTTGGAGACCAAATTCCTACCTATTAACCTCATGGACGATTGTTTACACCCCACCCCCATAATAAGTATGGAAACCAAATTAATATACAGAGACATTCGTGTAAGATGATTGTATACATCCTCCTATTATAAGTATGGAAACCAATTCCTAAATATAAACCTCGTGGATGATTGTATACATCCCCAATAATAAGTATGGAAACCAAATTTCTATACAGATACATCGTGTAAGATGATTGTATACATTCCCCTATTATACGTATGGAAACCAATTCCTAAATATAAACCTCGTGTAAGATTATTATATAATTCCCCTATAATAAGTATGGAAACCAAATTTCTATACAGATACCTCGTGTAAGATGATTGTATACATTCCCCTATTATAAGTATGGAAACCAATTCCTACATATAAACCTCGTGTAAGATGATTATATAATTCCCAATAATAAGTATGGAAACAAATTCCTACATATAAATCTCGTGTAAGATGATTGTATACATTCCCCCATACTGATTTATCAGAGTCTCTCTTCTCCACCTAATGATTGTGTTTTCCAAGGGATAGTACACGCTGTGAATCCCACAATGACATCCCCCAATAATATGGAAACCAAATTTGTACAGATAAACCTCTTGTCCATGATAAATCTATACACCCCCTCCAGATTCCTGCAAATAACCCTTCTGTACATATTGATTTTATACACTCCCCCTCCATAATATGGAAAATAAATTCCTGCAAACAACCCTTCTTTACATAATGATTGTATACACCCCCTCCTTAATAATATAGAAACTAAATTCCTGCAAACAATCCATCTGTACATAATGATTCTATACACCCCATCCATAAATCAAATATCTATTTTCATAATAACTGTAGAAAAAATATTATGGATTTCGCAGACGAGATCTTAAACAAAGAGTAATGGGGAACTTTTGTTTTTAGATTAATTTAGCGGATTTTTTCCTATTCAAAACTTCAAAGTACACAACCCTTGTGTATTGTAGCCTTTTTTGAACTTATACAATAAAGTTGGTAAGATCTATACTGATTACTTACAACCCCCATCGGACACATTTATGAATATTTTCATTTTTGTTTTATGTATATTTGAAGGCACATGCAGGGGAGATTAATCAATACGATGTATTTGGCTTGATTGCATCATTTAGTATGCCTTTACCTCATGCGATCCCCTGACGCAGATATGTTACATGGGTCTAAATTAAAACATTCTTCGTTTTATGTGACTAGCATGAAATGAACACCGTGTGGGATTGAATGGAAACCAGCTCGATTACGTAGATTGGCATTATTAACTTATACTTAATTTCAACGTAGATATTAGGAACGTGTGTGTTTTATCTTGTCAATGAAATGAGTAAAAGTATTTCATTTGGGAAAATTTGAAGGACATACTGCTTCTAAATTGTAGACTACTATTAATATCAAAAGTCGTGTAGTAAATAATGAATTGCATGTTTCTTTTTGGGAAAGGTCACAGTTTGGATGGAAAATCCATTTACAGTACAGAGGCAACATGAATCTTTTGTTTTTCTCTAATCGCCAAAATTCAGTCTCTTGGGCTACATTGTTCAATGAAGGGCGTCCATGTAGGACTTACTGCAAAGATATATGAGCTGACTGGGATTATTCGCAGCCCTGGAGAGCACCTACAATTATTTCTAAACGGTGATCATTTAATCAAATGCTAAAACTCCTTGTATTGCCTTCGAGTTCGATGTGCTTTATTTCCATAAGCTACACTCGTCACAATTACGCTCGAGTGTTTCAGACCTTTTGATATGCCTTTTTAGGTCTTATCAGCATTAGTTATTTCAAAGTTTTAGTTGTCTTTTGATTGGATAAAACTAACCATCGGTCGTCAATTGTGTAAAACGCAACAGGTCAACTTGAATTTGTCTGCGAATCTAAAACCTCATGAAAATATTAACCAGTGAATTGGGCTGTTGATAAGAAAATTGCAATTTTCAAGCAAAATCGAATCCAATTTGCACATGTGTCGATCTTAGACCTCAATCTTCAGTTAAACAAATTATTCAGAGAGCAATTTAAGGATTGGAATCAAATAAAATTGTTTGCTATTCTGAATGATGAACAAGATCACCAATTCATTTCCTTGTAATGCAATTTCAAACCAAAATTGAAAAAAACTTCCACTGATTTTTTCCCAGTCAGTTTTAGTATGGTATATTGATTCGTTTTATAACATTGGAAAAGTACATGTACATTGATAATTTTAGCTGATTTTTTAAAGTTTTACATTGAAAACTTTGAAATGATAATATGCACGATTTTGTTTTTATCTATTTGCAGAAAGTCAAAGTTGGACTGTGTTTGTGACAGAAAATACATGACGTAAATCCGGTACATCAACCAATTAAACAGTCTATTTTGGGTTAGCGCATGCGTTGTACCCCATGTCCAACCCGGTCAGAGAATACGTAAAGCGAGTTGCATCTATTGATCTAGAATCATTCCCAAGATGGGACTTAAAGGTAATGTATATAGAAAGGTAAAAATTAATTGATAAAACATGAAACTTCTTCAGTGATATTCTTTATTTATTTTATTTTTTTTATTATAATTTTTTTATTTCAAAGAATAAGCATGTTAAAGCAATTGCAAAAAACAATTACAGTACAGTTACATGATAAACATACATTTTACAATTTTACAATACAATATTCTTTATTTTTATATCACTGTCATATTCCTCTCTCTCAGATTTCGCTATGTCCTACACGTGACTAAAAATAACAAACTTCAACGGAAGTCACGTGACACGTGAATTTCAAATGATACCCAGTCAGGACTTAGTCCAGTTTAATTTTAGATTCATATATCCCTGGAAGTACACTGATATTTTTTAATTATACATCCATATTTCTTTTATTCTAGTATGAACAAGGGATATAAAAGTGAATACTAAAACAATTATTAACTTTTCTAAATTGAAAAAACTGTAGGACGAATTATATTATTTTAAATGGTAATCACTGAATAAGCAATAGTTTACACCAATACATTTCGTACATCCTAATCTATTTTGTGCTGAAAATTAAGATTATTAGTTGGACAACTCATAAGCCCAGAACAGTGGTTCAATAAAGACATTTTACAAAATTAGTTCTCATGGAAAGCATTGGCACAAAAGTATGAACAAGACTCTTATTGCCATTAATGCCATTTCAATTAATTTTGATTGTTAAGCTTATTCAGAAAATATAAGAAAACATTTTGTGCACATTAAATAATCTATCCTATGAAATATATAATATCATGAGCATAAAGCGTATAAAGTGTTGAATTTGTTGATCTAATAATCGATACTTTTGCTACAAAAATGGTAATTTAATATTTGAAAATTAAATGAGCAACTTTTTCAAAGGCCATCTTTTTTAAGTGATGACAAATAGTATTTAGATGCAAAAAAATATGTTCAAACTGTGCACGGGGTCTTTAACGGAATGTGCATCTGGTAGTTGGTATACAATACTAATTAAATGAACTTGAATTGCACCTTTAAATGTAACTGTATCAATAAGGTGTACCAAAAGTGTCTAACCGAAAACCACGAAGACATCTTCGTATACTTCATTTGTAGTTCTTTGTTCAGGAGAAATATTCGAATCGTCTATTCTATTTCAATGTCTTATCACTACCGATAAGTCAAACTATATGGCGGATATGTCTAAGCCAATTACTCCCAATAGTGGGATGAAAAATTGCAGTACCACAAATGAAACGTCATACTTGTCTTTACTGGATGAATTCTATTAAAACACAAGTCATAAAAGCAATTCTTTTTACCAAACAATAATCCCGAAATTGAACGAGGGTGTATTACGACTCTTTCTGCCATAACACTTTGACCCCAGTTGGAATTGACTTTTTGTTGTAATTATAAAAACGGAAATCAAATTTTATAGATAAATTTCACATGGGAGTTTGATAAATATAACAAAAACGCATTTGATATGTTTTTAGTATTAATTAATGTTTGGGAGCTTTATTTTTTGCTCCAGAAAGTCAATTCTAAAACGGGAATGGGTTGGTGTTCAATAAATATATAGTGAGCCAAATTCGATCCGATGGTGCGTGAAATTAGGTAAATGGTCCGCCTTGCTGTTAATGTTAGCGTTAAATTAATGTCATGGCATGTCTAATTCGTCAAAACTGGTGATCCAAATGAAAGATTTTAACACATAAAGCTATCCAATAAAGATAAAGAACGATCGATATGCCTTCACTGAATTACTCTCTTTCTGAGGAATATTGCTCGATGTTCCATCTATTCAATGGTTCAAGTATTTAAAATCGTGGCGTTAAAGGCATATTCAAACATTCTATTTTATTTGAATTAAGATGGCACCTTTCCGTAATATGTCTACCAGAACTTATTGGATATGGAATTGGAGATTGTATTGAGTGTTGGTTTCTGACATCATTTAGAGACACCTTCACAGAGTATCTCCAATGACACTGTTTCCCACACCCAGCTATCATGAATTGGCAAAGCATAATGATCAGGTTCTTAGAACTCACTGACAACTACTGTACTACACGTAATGCCCAAATGCCATTCATCTTATGCCTTGGTCACATTTGCTTTTTCACCACGGCGCCCGGCCGACTGTGTATTTTGTTCAAAATTGACCCATAAGTAAAGATTATTAGGTAGCTGAGCTAGTATTGCCTATGGATGGGGGACAGTCATTATGAAACACCCTGAAGCTGTGTACAATATTATTTGTTTAGGAATTGATTGGGAAGATTCAGTGTCAGTCGACGAGTACAGTATTCTGTAAGAGCACGAAAAACTAATGCAGATCGATTGACAAAACCAAACATTATAGTTAGTCCAGTACTTTTATCGGTATACATTTATAATGTAAAATGATAAATCAGTATGTACCCAGAGAATTGAGCACATGAACTAGATCAATGAATAGACAAGGGCATATACATATTACATACGGGGTCTATAATGCCCAGTGTTTATATAATGTTGTATCTGACACTTCTAGAAACATCATATATAAATGGAGGATATCACAATTCTCGAATATTTAACTGGATGTGGTCTTAAATGTGAAAAACAAAAGTTAAGTATGCTTTCATAGTGAGTGAGTTAATGTGCGACTATTATTTAAATTTAAAAAATGTCACGATTCTTTTTTGAATTATGCTAAGCATATAAATAAATCCAGTGCTTCGGGTTTAATTTCTCATCGATCATATTTCTATGTATTATAAATTGAGGTATTTTTAGTAGTATTTTTATTAATGTTATATATTTTTGTTTTCTTGTTCTAACATTGCGTAACAAGGGATAGTCTAATCGTATTTTTATTTCATTAAAAAATTTCCACGAGTATTCAAGCTTCCCAACTAGTTTTTGAAATATATATACGTTCAACATTACAAATAAATTGAATTATTTCAATTATAACTAAATGAAATATATCTATATTTTAGAAACCCCTTCCAAAACTGCCTGTGCCCAGACTTCATGACACTATTGGTCGCTACCTGTTGGCAATCCAACCGTTAGTTAGTGATGAACAATATGACAAAACTGCTAAACTATGTAGAGACTTCCTGGAGTCTGGCGGGCTGGGTGAAGAACTGCAAGAAAAACTCTTGGACATCGCGGATGAAAGTGACAACTGGGTATGTTATTTAGTGAGATTGACAAATGTGTGGTATAAGTGATAAGGGGGTAAAGACAAATAAGAAACATGCTATTGTATAGCCAGTCATTAATATCATGTATATTTAAGTGCCAAAGTGTGACAATCCTTTCGCAATAGGTTAACATATGTATGAAAGTGCTAAATGAAATATGAACATAACGAACAGAATGTGTTAAAAGTCCCTTCGCAATAGATTAACATATATTTACTAGCTGTGAACAATAATTCGTCAATGCTGTAGAGGTGTTCGAAATAAACTTCAAATTGAGACTCAAATACGAGCAAAATGATGTTTCAGTAAACACCAATTCCATTTGTTCAGTGTCATAATAACATTATAGGTTAATGGTGTTTACTGAAATATATCAGAAAATAAAAAAAATATTTTTAAAACCCAATCAAATTACAGAAACTTGTTTGCGGAAATTAAGCTGATTCAAATACTTGTATTCCCTTTTCCTCCATTTTTACTGAAATTGTGTAAGTTCTTATTTTATAATTAATTATGGCAACTATTTGTCAAAGTTCGGAGATAAAAATGAAATTTCGCTATAAACATTACAAAAATAATCTTATCTACCTTGGGTTTTCAACTAGAAGCCCATGTATCTACTAAACCGTTTCATTGAAAACCTGCATGTATCCATTAATGTACTCACGGTACTCATGATTGTCAAACTTCTCGCTTTTATTTCAATACGACTATGTCTTTACAGAATCTATGTGAGAGACCCTTTATCATATCTACCCTACAAAACAACAACCTTGAGATCATTATCAGAAACTTCGTAAAGTTAGAAATTCTATAAATATATTGTCATGGTAGAATAACAATTATCTTAGGAATCTTCATTTTTACAAGATACTTACACTTACGTAACAATAAGGTAAATTATTAATTTCTATAAAAAACGTTTATATGTTTAATTTAGCGCCTGAAATACATAATTAATATGAATTGTTCATTGTTTTTGCTATCTACCAGGTCTATCAGTTCTGGTTGGACGATATGTATATGAAACCCAGACTCTCATTACCTGTGAACTCTAACCCTGGAATGGTGTTTCCCAAGCAATATTTCGAAGACCAAGACGCCCAACTGAGGTAATGAAATACATCTCTATAGTTAAAACATTGTATTCGTACGTATTTAACGTTTTATTTTCATATTTATTTTTATATACATGTAAAAGTTATCACACTCCGATTATATTTAAAAAATTACAAAGCATAATAATACAATAAATATTATTATTTACAAAGAATTACGAGAAAGAAGTATTTGTGTACCTAACGAACTTTCCTCCAGAGAATATTGGATAGGTTAGGACTTTTCAGATCTGCCACATTTTCGGAAAATAGTATAAAAAAATTCCCCTCGGGAATATCCTGTCCACTTGCATGTTCCCTCTGCCTGCATGCCTAGGGAACATGTCAGTGGACAGGATATTCCCTCTGGAAAAATATTTTGCACTATTTCACCAAAGGCAATCACTATTTGTATAATAATCTGTCCATATCGTCAGCTCCTCTTTTTTAAATGTTAAATAACTCGATAATGACCACATATTTTAGATTTTACGAGGTAGGAGAAATATTTTTAATATACAGATACATTTACGAGAGCTACAATTTAGTAGTATAAAATGTCACTCTTTGCTAAGTGCAATCTTCAGTCTCATCCAAAACAATTCCTTTTCTTTTTCTGCACCACTGTCATGTTTATCCCATGGCCATTGGAGGTATGTTATATTGTTCATCAAAGCTTTCATTTGTGCTGGTACTTTTTCTTTGTCAGGTTTTTCTAAAAATATTAGTATTATAACACTTCGTCTTTCTTCGAATAGTTTGAGAAGAGCCATTTGAAATTCAAAGCTGCACCATTTGCTCAAAAAGTACGCTTTGCTTACGACCATAATCACACGCCGACTGTTGCGCATACACTCTTCAATATTTCCCGTGATTGGTTCTCCAACTTCAAAATCCCGTTGATGAATACATAACCGGAAGAGCATCCGCTCGGGATCTAATTCTGGCAAGTTATTGAGATCATATAGTCCGATATCATCTAACAATTCTTGGGGACATCCATCTCTTATTGTTTGCTGGACGTTTTCAACGTTTTCACGGAGATCAATGTTTGGAAGTAATTCTGTACGGATCCAGCCAATGTCCTGCCTATTGTACACAACGAATGCCGAATATTTGTAATGCTCTTTTCTTGTGGTATGGTTTTCGCAACAATCACTACGACATCTGTTGTATCTTTGCAAAAGACACCAGTATTCAATGTGCCATCTATACTTCATTAATATGGCAACTATGGCACCAAGGAGCAACAATGGCCCCAATGTCGCCATCACTAGAGCAATTTGAAGATTATGGTCACAATCTATCCAGCTCAAGTCATAATTCGCAACGGTTTGGTTTTCCATAGACTTTGGCAGACCACATAGCTGATGTACTCCTTGTATCCACGTGTTGCATTCAGTTTCAAGGTATTTCCTCATCCAGTTACGGAAATCTCGCAACTTGCAGTCACAGAAAAATCTATTTTCTTCAATGTTGATATACTTTAACTTCTTTAAACCATGGAAATTTCTAGGGTCCAAATAGGTGAGTAAGTTTCCTTGTAAGTGGAGGGCTTCGAGGGATTTCAGTTCATTGAATATTCCGTCTACAAGGACTCCCAACATATTGTTGCTTAGGTCCAACACCTGGATATTTTCTCCCCCGCTGAATAGCCCAGGTACTATTAGTTTTTCGGTAAACTTCGACTCAGCAAGGATGAGTTCTTTCAAATTATCTAGCTGTATCTCAGCCACCATTTTACTTAGCATGGTATCCTTGAGAAACCCAAAATCATTTTGGCTGATGTCCAACTTGACTAGATTTCTAGCTTTTGAGAGCATATTGAAAAACTCGATGCCTTCAAATCTGTCCTGGTTTCGATACACCAAAACATGAAGTTGATCTAGTATAGTGTCTGATATATTCACATTCACCAATTTTGTTCCGATTTTGATCATGTGGAGCTCCCTTAGTTTTGGCAGGTTGTAAATCTGGTACTTTAGAGGGTCGAGTGTGTTGCAAATAGTTAAACTTTCGAGATTTGGAAGGTTGGAGATAACGACTGGTTTTTGTGTACTCGTGTGGTCCTGTAGATTACATACTTTTAAACGTTTCAGGCTTTTAGGGAAATGAGCTGACATGGGGGATTGACGGTTATCTATTATCATTTGATCAAACTCTAAGGCTCTAAGTCGCTTTAGCTGCAACAATGATTTGTTGTTTGGTAGATTTGTCATATTCAGCGATATCAAGCTCTTGGCTAAATGCATAAAAGCATTACATTCATATCTCCAAATATTATTACCGGATGTATCTAAATGTTTCACTCCGGTCTTCTTCAATGGCTCGAAAAATGAACTGTTCAGGAATGGTACAGATATACCACAATGCGCAAGGTTGAGCGAGTTGACTTTCTTATATCGTAGGTTATTTAAAAGGTCATGGATGCACGTATTTAAATCATTTCGGTCGAAAATTAGGGCGTCAAACCTTTTAATCTTATTAAAACAACCAGTTTCCACCTGTCGAAGATTATTTCCTGACAAGTCTAGGGACACAATTTTAAAAACGGAATAGTATGTCATTCCATCCTTAGTTAGAGTCTCGATACCCGCCTTATTCGTTGCTATCACCCTCAACATCAGGCCAACGGTATAGCCTCCTATCCTTGGATAGGTCTCCAAAGACAAATCAGTAACAGACCCGCTCTCAATGTCCGCCCGAATTCTGCTTTGTTTGAATTGGTTTGTTCCATAACTCTCAACCATAAACACTGGTATCTGTCGTATTGCACGACCATTTAGAATTATTATGTGCAAGCAAGGTACATCTTTCAGAATAGATCGATAGAAATCTGATTCTAAAACAACTTTATTGGTCTCTAACCGAAGCTCTTCAAGTCTATCTAGGTATTTTAGTACGTAAATATTCATGTCTAAAATGTCGACGTCAATGCTAAGCATGATTAGCGATTCGGGCAAGATAAAATGTCCAGAGATGTTCGTATTCCCCTCGAGGTTCAAAACCCTTAGTTTTGAGAGTTGTGCTAGAGACTTTTCGGATATGTGGGTGATCATATTGCGACTTATGTTGAGAAAGAAGAGGTTACTGACTTCAATGAAATCGTCATCTGACAATTCCGTTATGTTGTTCCCGCTCAGGTCGATGTGGTTTACATCCGGGAGCCCTTTAGGAACTTCTTTTAGACCCCTATAGCTGCAATCCATGATTTTGATGTCATCCACTGTACTTTTACAAGTACAAATAGCTGGGCATTTCATGACAATATGATGAAGATTGCATTTATTATCTCCGGGTTGTATTTGGAAAACTTTCTGGTTTTGAACAATCTCTATTCCGTTACGCCACGACTCTTTGTACAGATAGACAAGGCCGAAGACGTATACAACTGCTAAACCGATCAATACCCTTTTGAGTGCACGTCTTCTGCAGTAAAAAGGCATTCTTCAAAAAAGTCTGGCAATACCATACACAATCTGGAAGTATACAATAACGGACTAGTCATGTGACGAAGCATATCACAAAAAGTATTCCCAAAACGCAAGCACAATGCTACGCACAACTGATGTAAGTCATTGACAAATCGTTGTTCAATGTAGTTATACATGTTCGAATGCAGACCTCCAGAATAATAATGAATAAAATACAGAATGATAAATTAATAATGTATTTACCTTCTTCCTCCAAGATATGAGCACAAGTACGAAGTTTGCCTGCAAAAAGTTCCGCCTGTCTTGCACTGTCTATTGCCTGCAGTTAAAGGCTAGTGGTGTCTGGGTGTGACACTATAAATGACAACCTCTTAAATACTGTCCGGCAGTGTTGTTCTAAATGAATATATATAATAAATATAACTTCCTTGTATATGAACTCGATTGCACTAAACATGAAATCCGATAACACATGTGTACTAGATACAAAAGGTTTTAGGGACTCGAGTGTTTTATCATGTCTCTCGTAAGTGACACGCTAAATTATAGACTTTGATAACATTTGTAATTTTTAAAGTTCGAGGGTATGTGTACTTTTGTAAAATGAAAGTAATTAAAGTAATCACGTGATTTGGTCATTCGAATAGTACCTGTGGATTTTGTGAAACAAAATTGCCAAGAAACGAAAAGACGTTATTTACATTACCACCAAATTAAAACTACATTTTACATCAATGAATGAAAACCAACTAGTATACAAAGGAGCACATGAACAAGAACTGGAACTACTACCTGCGGGTAAAAGACCGGAACCAAAACACACACATGAGATAACATTTTCCTCTTCTGTTTGACCAATCAAAGGCTACTCTCAATAACGATAACAAATCTACGAGGAGTACAGAGTCTATATGTCTGATAAACATAATATAAATGTAACAAATAATTATATAAGTCAAGTAGTCAAAAACATAAATCTCATCATTAGTTACAAAAATTTTAAAGAGCGGACTGATTAATTATGATTTTCGACAATGTTAATTTGCTAATATTTAATTTGTTTAAGGATGTTCCTTTTAGGTTTACACTTTTTTGTAGAAATATAGACGTTTTATCAAATAAAGGTTTCTGGGATCCCAACGAGCAAGAATAATTTCAAAACCTAGTTAGTGTGTTTTTTTCTTATCCAGATAGTATTGATATTTGACAAAGTTGGTATGATTCTTGCAATGGAATTCTTAGAAAAAAAATCGGTTTTCACAAATCACAAGCTGAAGAAACTTGTTCTGAAACCCCTAAACATCTAAAATCACCAAAAAGGAATAAGTGGGCTAGACCGCCAGTGGGACGTTCCTAAAGTACACACAATAATACTCAATGTTTTTTCGTTTTCCCCGAACATTATAATGTTTGTGTGACATGCACATTATTTTGGAGAATATTTCTCACTTAGAAACAATGACGTTTCAGAATCTTATTGACCTAGATCCATTGTACGACAACACATGACCTATAATAAGTAGAGGTGTAACTCGCCAGAAAAATCCAACTCGAGTTCAACTTGCCAAATATTTCCAAAACTCGAGTAAAACTCGAGTTCATTCATTTCGTCCAGTACATATTGTAAACCCGGGTATACAAAATTACTGTAACTTTAAGCGGCAAGATTCTCTGGTTTAGTCACATCAAAAAGGTGTTTAACACGTTGGGGCCATAAGAAAGTGTGGTATTCATTGCAGTTATCTCATATTTCAATCAAAAACGATCTGGTATAGACGTCGCCGCATACGGTAAGGACGAGAGATCGCTAGAATCTAACCAAACAATATTTTTGAAAACCCAGAAGGGCCCCTTAAATTAATGAATGGTTTTCCCGGATTATCTTCATTATTTATACTAAAGACTGCTGTTTATCGATCTAAAGTTAAGACTTATGATCTTAATTTAATGATAGATCATCTTTTTCATGTAAAAGTTGTGTAAACGACGTGAGAATAGGGGGACCATTTTTATTCAATTTTAGTGACTACTCTATTATCGCCCGCTAAGTTCCTTCGATATTCGATCTTTTTCTGATTTTTTTTGGTGTAACTCGTCATTCCACGATATTTGTTGAACTTTGTGAAGCTTTCAGAGTGTTTTTTAGGTGACGGGCGCTAAATATGGCGATCATTGGTATATTTATTCCACTAATGAAGTAATGTTGCACGATCTTTGGGACCCGAATTCATTTTACATGCTTGCAAGATAGGCGAAACTCGCGAGTTGACTCGAGTTATAGCTAGCTCGCGAGTTGAAATAGATTGCGAGTTTCTAGAGGACAACTCGAGCCAATGTATAGGCAGCTCTGACGAGCTGTACTCGAGTTACTGACTCGGGAGTTACACCTCTAATAATAAGATGGTCTGAGATAACCATATTTTTGATAAAAACTATTTTCTTCTTAAAAACTATTTTCAGATTTGCCGCCCGTTTAATCTCTGGCATATTAGACTACAAGACAATAATAGATTCGTAAGTGTTATCAATATCAGACATCATTTTAAACCATTACTTAGAATACGTATATTGTATATGTTTATGTAGATTATAATGTATAACATAAATATATAGTAAAATTTAGATCATATAGTATAATGTAGAAAATGCTAAAATGAAATATAATACCTGCATTTCTTATTGCTCTACATGTATATTCTTTCCTTATTCAAAGGACGATTCTCGGTTTGGAGAACGAAGTTCATCAATCTAAATGAGCATTATCCCTGCTTCGGAAAATTTGATTGTTTTACATAATATAGCTTTGAATGTCTTCTTTTCAATAGTCATAATTTAATTTGGGTAATATTTCTAGATTTTTCGCAAAAAATATTAGCGCAGTACACCGTGATGGACTTCTTTCCCCAAATCGAGACTTGTATTTTATTGAATCGGCCAAATTGAGCGTTATCCCTGCTTCAGACCAATTTGTTATTTTTACATCTTGTAGATTTAAATGTCCCCTTTTGAATATTCATAGTTTAATTTGGGTAATATTTCTATATTTTTCATGAAAAAAATTATTAGCTCAGGAGACTGTTCTCCAAACCGAGAATCGTCCTTTAGTTTTTTAACAATTAATAAGATTCACCAAAAAGAGTGTAGTGTAATGAATAAGCCATTTTTTATAACAATTATTGTAGTTATACGCTTTATACAAATTGTAGATCTAGAAGGATATCCAGCGGATTATTGTATAACATATATATAACTAGACATGTAAATTGAACAAGTTCAATTTAAGACTCCAGATTTAAGACTTGTTTTAAGCTGAGTCATCCAATTACTTGTAAGCTGAGTCATTCACTATAAGCTGAGTCAGCTAGAATATAGACATTTAGACAACTCTTAAGAATGTTATCTTCGACTCCATATGCATGACATGGGGATATCATCATATCGACTTTTCGAGACTTCAAACCGCTATTACTATCTAACCAGAAGTTTGATCGAAAATTGGTTTGCAGATTCGGATTCCTGAGAAAATTCTACTCTTAATTCATAACTCATATGTAAAATTTGGAGAATTTTTCATTTTTACCTACTTTTCGGACACCATATCTCAAAAGTGGGTCAAAATACTCTCTGACGGCAAAAGGCTAACACTATTAGCCCACTCTTTGCTACCTGTATACAAAATTTTGAAGCAAATCCTAAAAGTGTAGTGCCAGAATCGCAAAAATAAGGAAAAACTATGTATTTGACCTAGATTTTGACCTAGGGATTTTGGTGTCCAAATTTTAAAGCTAGATAGCCTTCGAGGTCCCCTTCTTTTATAGACTTTCAGAATCTTAAGCTGTACTCAGTCTTTATCTGGAATTATACACTTCAAAAAAATCTTTGATCTTCGATTTTTGAGCTTTCAAAACGCCATAACTTCCCAACGAAAAGTCGGATTGAAATTTGGTTTGCAGATTCGGATTCCTGAGAAAATTCTACCCTTAATTCATAACTCATAAGTTAAATTATGAGAAATTTCAATTTAGACCTACTTTACGGACACCATATCTCAAAAGTGGGTCAAAATACTTCCTGACGGCAAAAGGCTAACACTATTAGCACACTCTTTGCTACATGTATACAAAATTTCAAAGCAAATCATTAAAGTGTAATGTCAGAATCGCAAAAATAAGGTAAAACTATGAATATGACCTAGATATTGACCCTAGGCATTTTGGTGTCCAAATTTTGAAGCTAGATAGCTTTTGAGGTCCGTTTCTTTTGTAGGCTTTCATTGTGTGAAGCTGTACTCAGTCTATATCTCGTATTTTACACTTCAAAAAAATCTTTTTTCCCATTGCCATAACATGGGGCACCAAATTTAGCGATTTTTTAGCTTTCAAAACGCCATAACTTCCGAACCAATAGTCGGATTGAAATTTGATTTGCAGATTTGGATTCCTGAGAAAATTCTACCCTTAATTCATAACTCATACGTTAAATTTTGAGAACTTTTTATTTTGACCTACATTTTGGACACCATATCTCAAAAGTGGGTCAAAATACTTTCTGACGGCAAAAGGCTAACACTATTAGCACACTCTTTGCTACATGTATGCAAAATTTTGAAGCAAATTATTAAAGTGTAGTGTCAGAATCGTAAAAATAAGGAAAAACTATAAATTTGACCTAGATTTTGACCTAGGCATTTTGGTGTCCAAATTTTGAAGCTATATAACTTTTGAGGTCCCCTTCTTTTATAGGCATCCATTATATTAAGCTGAGCTAAGTCTATATTTCGTATTTATCACTTCAAAAAAATCTTTTTTCCCATTGACTTAACATGGGCACCAAATTTAGCGATTTTTGAGATTTCGAAACGCTATTACTTCCGAACCGGAAGTCGGATCGAAATTTGGTTTGCAGATTCGGATTCCTGAGATAATTCTACACTTATTTGATGATTCACACGTTGAATTTGGAGAACTTTTTATGTTCTGACCTACTTTTCGGACGTCATTTCTCAAAATCGGTAAGAGTAATCAAAAAACGATTTGCCTTACGGAATTAGCTTTTTATCTAAGGAACATGATGAAAAAAACCAGGAGCAAAAATACCGAAGGACGACTGAGAAAACTTGTAAAATAGTGAAAACCCACGATTTGACCTAGTTCTTGACCTTTGACCTAGATAATCATTTGACATAATTTCCCAGAAACTAGGTATCATTACCTAGTTGACTATGTTAGCAGATTTAAGTAAGCCCTTCTAGTTGCTGAGAAAACTGGTTCGGAAAGAATAATAATAACTAGATTGGTAAATTGAACAAAGTTCAATTTAAGACTCCAGATTGATTTACTTGAGTAAAGAGCTGAGTAGGAAGCTGAGTACGTAGATGATTAAGTAATTGAGTAAGTAGCTGAGTAGGTAGCTGAGTAGGTAGCTGAGTAAGTAGCTGAGTAGGTAGCTGAGTAAGTAGCTGAGTAGGTAGCTGAGAAGTAGGTAGCTAAGTAGGTAGCCGAATAGGTATGTAGGTAAGTAGGTAAGTAGGAATTGTTGAAAGTATATTTGATGGATCTGCATTGTGGATACTGGCAAATGTGAAATTTTAAACAAATGTGAATTTTAAAATGGTGTAGAATCTAAACCGGGAGTCGGATTGAAAGTTGCTTTGCAGATTTGGATTCCTGAGAAAATTCTACCCTTAATTCATAACTCATAAGTTAAATTTGGAGAACTTTTTATATTGACCCATATTTCGGACACCATATCTTAAAAGTGGGTCAAAATACTTTCTGACGGCAAAAGGCTTACACTATAAGCACACTCTTTGCTACATGTATACAAAATTTTGAAGCAAATTATTAAAGTGTAATGTCAGAATCGCAAAAATAAGGAAAAACTATGAATTTGACCTAGATTTTGACCTTGGCATTTTGTTGTCCACATTTTAAAGCTAGGTCGCCTTTGAGGTCCCCTTCTTTTATAGGCTTTCATTATGTTAAGCTATACTCAGTCTATTTCTGGTATTTTACACTTCAAAAAAAAAACTTTTTCCCTATTGACATAACATGGGGCACCAAATTTAGCAATTTTTGAGCTTTCAAAATGCCATTACTTCCGACCTGGAAGTCGAATCAAAATTTGGTTTGCAGATTCGGATTCCTGAGAAAATTCTGCCCTTATTTCATAGCTCATATGTTAAATTTGGAGAACTTTTTATTTAACCTACTTTTCGGACAGCATATCTCAAAAGTGGGTCAAAATACTTTCTGACGGCAAAAGGCTAACATTATTAGCACACTCTTTGCTACCTGTATACAAAATTTAGAAGCAAATCATTTAAGTGTAGTGTCAGAATCGTAAAAATTAGGAAAAACTATCAATTTGACCTAGATTTTGACCTTGCGATTTTGGTGTCCAAATTTTAAAGCTAGATAGCCTTCGAGGTCCCCTTCTTTTATAGGCTTTCATTATGTTAAGCTGTACTAAGTCTATATCTCGTATTTTACACTTCGAAGAAGTCTTTTTCCCCATTGACTTAACATGGGGCACCAAATTTAGCGATTTTGAGATTTCAAAATGCTATAACTTCTGAACCGGTAGTCGGATCGAAATTTTGTTTGCAGATTCGGATTCCTGAGATAATTCTACACTTATTTGATAATTCACACGTTGAATTTGGAGAACTTTTTATGTTCTGACCTACATTTCGGACGTCATTTCTCAAAATCGGTAAGAGTAATCAAAAAACGATTTGCCTTACGGAATTAGCTTTTTTTCTAAGGAACATGATGAAAAAAACCCGGAGCAAAAATACCGAAGGACGACTGAGAAAACTTGTAAAATAGTGAAAACCCACGATTTGACCTAGTTCTTGACCTTTGACCTAGATAAAAAGTTGACCTAATTTCCCAGAAACTAGGTTTCATTACCTAGTTGACTATATTAGCAGATTTAAGTAAGTTCTTCTAGTTGCTGAGAAAAAGTGTTCGGAAAGAAAGAAAGAAAGAAAGAAAGAAGGAAAGAAAGAATAATAGGAAAACTGGCAAAAGCAATAGACTCCAGATTTTCATCTGGAGTCTAATAATAATAATAAAACTGGCAAAAGCAATAGACTCCAGATTTTCAATCTGGAGTCTAATAAATTACTGGTGAATAAAAAAAGAGATATAGATTATGAATTGTTGCCTATGATTCTGGCAGTGAAGAGTGAAGCATAAACTTTATCAAGAGGCAATTCAAAACACTTTCCATAACTTTTGTTTCCAGACACGATCTCCCTATTGACCGGTGCACATCAAGAGAAAAAGGACAGCCACTATGCATGAATCAGTATTACCGTTTGTTTTCCTCGTATCGAGTTCCAGGGGTGAATAAAGACTCTTTGGTCATATCTAGCAGTAGTATAATGCCGGAACCGGAACATGTTATCGTCATATGCAAAAATCAGGTATGATATGGAAAGGACCAGCCTGAAGTGCCACGATTCACAGGTGGTAGAGGGTTTTCGTGTGGGTAATATGGGTAGTAATAACTTTTCTTTTTTTGAGGGAAGGCCTCTCTCAGAATAGTTTAGCTACAAGCTTTTGTGACCCCCTCTACTTGACTGAACTCGTTCCGCAGATGTGTGCAAGGGCTTGACGCAAGACTACTCTCAGAATACGTTTGTTTAAATGTCAAATGGTTTTCTTGCAAATATTATTCGTTACGCCTTCTTGTAGACATTTTTTGGAAGATAGGTTATTGGGTTTCTTTTAAGATAACAAATGTTATGGTTTACAAATGTTAAGATTCAGATCATCTAAAACATCGAGAGGATGAAGATATTCTAACCATTCAACTTGCAGGTCCATCCCCAACTATGCAACAGTCAAGTATTTCAAATTATGTAAATTTTGAAAATGAAGAGCTGGACAACTCTATGATAAATGAGGAGGCAACATACCATGAGTGGGCGATCATGACACCCTTTTTCAAATTTCGACGAAACGATTTAGAAATACTGGGAAATGTTAGGTTTATGAATACACTTGAAGATGTAATATAGGTCAAACGTATCTGATCATCAGAGTTGTTTTTCAAAGGAATAAATTCAAAAATATATTTTTACGCACATACCCCATCACGATCATGACACCCTTTTTCAAATTTCGACGAAACGATTCAGAAATACTGTGAAATGTTAGGTTTATGTAGACACTTGAAGATATAATATAGGTCAAACTTATCTGATCATCAGAGTTGTTTTTCAAAGAAATAAATTCAAAAAGATATTTTTACGCACATAGCCCATCGCTAATTTGAAGCTCTTGGTTATTTTTACATTATCATTAAAATCCTAGCGATAATATGCCATGGGTAGGATGATTGTGACACTAAAACCATTTTGTCGCACATACCTTGTCCCTTGCTTGAAAATTACCTTTAAATTTGGTTTCAGTTTTTCGTTCTGGACATTCTTGTCAACTTCACACGCCTTAGTGATGATAACATGTATACTCAACTAAAGAGGATCGTAAAACAAGCGAATGAAAGTGAAGAGGACAATGAACTGAATGAGCCAATTGGGATTCTTACAAGTCTAGACCGAGATAGCTGGGCTAACAACCGGATACGACTTATGAACGGTATGATATCCATTATTCTGATAAAGATACAAGTGATTATGTATTGTGGGAAAATTTAGAACGTTTTGTTGTTAAAGATGGCAGCACATCTGAGATCTTTTACTGTGGTTTCAGCTACAGTATAAGATATCCAGAATAGTCCATGGTATGAAATTCCTAGGGCGCCTAATTAAGGAGCTAGTAACACAAAATAGTGCAGCGATATTTGACTTAATATTTACATACCTTCACATGTCCAGTATTGTTTTTTAACGTTCAATATTCTTTGGGATTTTGACCCGAATTGTGCATTACATTAGCAGGAGTCAAAAATATTCGTAAAAACTAAATCCCCCTTTTTTACAATTTGGAGTACAACTGCTACAGAAGATTATTTGAAATAAATTTTGAGTGTATGTTTTACGTTTCTCAACTATAAATTTGATATTTATTTTTCATAAAAATACAAAAAAATACGTAATCACTACTAATCAGCACATCGACATTTTGAATTATTTTTTTCAATATTGGTGATGTAAATGGTATCAATGAATCGTTTTTATATGAGAATGAAATATGCTAAAATTATTGTTGTTTTAGAAAAACGGGTCGTTATACTTTTTGAGATATGGACTGTCGCCGTCGGGGTCAACTATCAATAAAGGGGGCGTATTGTTCTTCATTGACTTACTGTGGCTTCGGCTAAAATATTGAGTAATATCTAGTTAGATATTGCTCAGTTGTTTATAAAACAAACACCAAGACCTGGTCGAATTCTTGAAGCTTTGAGGAAAAATGGTTTTGATTTTCACCAAAAATCTGATAAGAACCAGAAGTTATGTCTAATTGAGTATATTACCATCAGAAAATCTGATGATATGCAGCAGTAACGTCGAAAGAGAAATTTAACACGTTTGATTGCATAAATCTCTTATAAACTATAAGACATGCCCTCTGAATATATAAACGTTCTAATACCTCTATATAACATTCAAATAGATATATATTTTAAATATTTGTCATTGTTTTATGTTTTATAAAACATTGGAGATTATTTTTTGTTTGACTCCTGGCGATGATAGGTACAATTTCATTACATAAAACGTTGAAAAGTTAAAACCTAATATATTTGAGATAATGAATTTTTTAAATAATTCACACAATTTTGTCGAATCTGCTTGACCAATATTTGAAAAAATAAACAAAATAAAATAAGCACATTTATATAATTACACTAATTAACCATCAGAAATTACATTGAAAATAGAAGTAGGGCTGACAGTTGTGTTATAAAAAGGGACGAGACGAACTTCTTAACTCTGGTATACAATTAATGCCAAACAAAAATTCTATATTATATAAGTTTGCATTATGGTCTCCAGATTCCACCAACCGAGATACACTAGACATGATAGAGAGATGTATTTTCGTACTTTGCCTGGACAAGCCCATGCCTCTTTCTTTTAACCACCAGAGAAGCATTGACGAGACCATGCATAACCTCCGCGATGACGTATCGCTGGCCAGTCAGATGTTACATGGCTCTGGTAGCAAATATAACAGCTGTAACCGGTGGTTTGATAAAACAATGCAGGTATAATACAATCATCACAATGGATGTTCTTAAGGGAAATTCACATAATTAGTTTTATTGGTAACATCATTCTATATGTATTGCGCCTAGACTGGATAACAATACTTTAAGTTATTGAATGATTTGAAGTGCAATACAGGATATATTCTGTTCGAGAAATTTTGTATTGGAACGAGACAAAGTCGAGTGCCAATACAGAATATCGAGACAGAATAAATCCTGTGTTGCACTTCAAATCATTCAATAACGTTTTTATCGTGTGATCCTCTGTATTGCTACTGAGATTGTCCCCTCCATACCAATATTTTCTGTATTACGACGGAGATGAGGAACGGGGACAACCTCAGTAGCAATACAGATTGGTACAGCACAAGAACTGACCAATCAGAGGGCTTCATTTTACAGATCATACGATAATTAAAATTATTGAATGGCTTGAAGTGCAATATGAGACCAGTTGCAATACAGGATATATTCTGCTCGAGAAATTCTGTATTGGAACAGACGAAAATAACATATAGAAATACATCAGTTCCATTAGTTTGTAGTGGATTATTTAGCAATTATTAGAAAGGATCTTACAAAAAATAATAACTCAACAAATTACAAATAACAAACTTTGTATGAAAAATCAGCATGGTCGTAAATCATTACAGAAAAGCACAAAAACTAATATAAGATGGTGATATGTAATCTGTCAAATTGGTAAATCCTAATTAGGTACTAATAGATATAATGTTCAATCTGCAGTCAAATTCAGCTTGCCGTTGTCATGGGGACGGTGTATACATGACACTGTTTATGTGTGTATCCATGATTCTTGTACAGAAGATATGAGAAGTATTTTCTAGTATTCACTTGCGCAATATCGTTTGTAAACCTAATGTCTGTGCAAAATTCGACTCAATAAAGTTGATGTAATCTAAAAATAGCCCGGATGCATTAGAATTAGTATATATGCAATGAAATTATATGAAATACTGTGTTCTGATTGGCTGGAATTAGACACACCTTGCATAGCTATGTGTGAATAATCGATATTGAACAGCTACGTATTTACTGGTCCCCGCCTGTTTATAAAGACGTTACGTCTTATAACAAAATGGATGAACTATACTAAATTTTCATTCTCATCATTTTCACCAAGAAGGAGGTCGATTTGTATCCAATTTTTTACCCGTGTGTTAATTGTAACACCTGGTTAATAAAAAGCTAGTCAGTCACCAGCAAATATATCCAGCAGCTCCAATAATCGAGTGAGAACACCTCACTTCAAGAACCAGGTCGTTATCTGGTGGGTTTCATAACGTCCTGGTGGCTAAATGTGTAATGGCCTATTATCAACATCCTGGTTGCTGAAGTGATTCGATTATTGGAGTCATTGGATGTATATACTCTAAACTGATTCGCTTTTCAGTAACCTGATGCTACTATTAACATAAGGGTAAAGCATTTGGATACAAATCGACATTCTTCTTGGTGAAGATGCTGAAAATATTGTCCTCCAATGGAAGTTCATCCATAACGTCTTTGTAACCAAGTGGGGACCAGCGGTATTGCAAGAACCTTTGTGTTGAAAATCAACTTTTCAATATTTTCTTCCTTGATCTCCCAAGGCCTCAGTTCTGACTTGTGGATTAGGAAACATTTTCGTATTTTTCAGTTCATAATTTCCGAAGATGGTGCCTGTGGTTTATGCTATGAGCATTCCCCCTCTGAAGGGATTGCTGTTGTCCGATTGATAGAACATCTATTAGCTTACATGTGAGTATATAAGACATTTGATAAAAGGTTAACAAACATCTTATAAAATCTTATGGGGATTATATGACACTTCAGAACATGATATAATCCACATTCATCCAAAGCTCTAAGCCAGAGGTTTACTTTGAATTAAAATATTTTTGAAGTGGTAGACACTTGTTAATGAATTGTTTGAAAAATAATAGATTTAATCGTATCAATTTATTATCTTCGATTCTTTATCTGTCTTCATACAAGCAAAACAAGAGCAATAGTCCTATTCGCGTTAGGAAATTACTGGTCATTAACATAAATATTTCCCGCAATGCAACACGATAAAATGGACAATTTTCTATTGGTCCGCAAAACACAACGTCATAGGCATTATCCCGATCCAACATTAGTACATATGTATACTAATATTCTATAATCCAGACAATAATTAGAAAAGAAGATGGAAATTCAATTTGCTTCGATTATTTTTCTATGGCGTCTGAGCAAGTTCCGGGAACTGAGCAAGTTCCGGGAAATCTGTGACGTCACTTGAATTTTAAACTTAGGATTTTGACGATTCTGGTGAATATATTTTTTAAAAACTTGTCAAATGTCTTTATAATGATCATATCTATCGTATGTGCAAATATAATTCATGATAAACCTCTAATAAAGTCACAATGCGTCATTGAAAAACACAGCCAATGTTATTCCAATGGGGAAGTGCCCGGATGTTGAGAAAGTTGTACCACGAAACTGAACTCTCCAACGCGGAGATAAGAATATTTCGCACATTAAAAGTTAGCGCGTATAGGTATATTCTGTAATACACTGGAATACAATTCTGCACTTCCTCATAACATTTAGGGAAGAAAAACGAAAGAGGCGATTACCCAGAATGCATTCCATATGCGAATTGGCCAAGCCAAGAAAACTCCACTGGAAGACAGATGTGCAGGTCACAAAAGCAATACAACACGCAAAGTACACTTTAGATAAGTATGTTGTAATCTCTTATATCATATTACATCCGTTTTGCAATCGTAAGATGCTCTATTATAACGACATTGACCTTCTCTGAAATGATAAAAAGGAAACGTTACCCTTATAAACCATGATTAGTGTGTTATTAATCCAGTCACTCAAGCGATAGCAATAGTTCACAAACTTATAAAGTATAAAGAATTAATTAGACAGAATATACAGGATCGTATTACCTTATATATCTTGCCCTTGTTTAGTATAGCTCATTATCTAATCTAAAGCTCAATGACACTAGGAGTGACGTATTTTCTTTCTTAGAAATGTCAGTTTTGAGTAAGCATAAGCTTTTCACTAGATGAAAACTGGAAAAGTAAATACACAATTACCGTATACACCATGCATTTGCTTCCTATTTTACATTGATTCGGTAAAAAATAACATTGCAAGAAATTTTTTATTTATTTTTATTTATTTTTATTTATTTATAATCATATTCATTTAGTATTACATTAACAGAGTTGGCACCCATAAAAGGGCATATCAGTGCTAAAATCAAAAGTTGTACAATACAAAAATATATTACAATTTATATAAATTGAATGAACTAAGAAATACAAGTATAGATATCATGCCAGTTCATGTTATAAAATACAACAATATACAAAAATGCCTGCACATAAACAGTTCTCATAGCAATTCTCTTAAGGTGTGTCCAGATCATTTTATATAAAGAAATAATTCTATTTGCAGGCTAATAACAACATTAGATCTCTATTGCTTGAGATTTGAACATTATGGAAAGGACTTCCCCAAATCCCAGAATATGAGTCCGGATTCATTCATTCAACTGGCTTTACAATTGACGTACTACAAGTAAGTGTATTACATGTTATAAATACCGTTCAAAAGAATCCAATTAAGATTGTCTTATTGGAGCGATTTTTGGAGACATCTTGCACGTATACAATACTATAGTTATCAAGTATCTTTCCGTATTTTGGCCCTACAATTTAACAGATTACACTATTAGTCCTCTCAGGCTATATATAATACATAACGTAGAGTGGGTCAAAACGTCCATATTTCTTATTTTGACATATTCTCATTATGCACGCATGGATTTCAGTGATATGTTCGCAGGAGATGCAACAATGCCTTATACTTGTAGAAGTAACAAAAAGTTCTAAAGGCAAACCCAATGTCCTGTGTAAAAACCCATAGTCTTACTAATAAAAATGAATCTGTGAACTAAGTTCAAGGTTATTAGAGATTCTGACTGCCATTTTATTACATATTTAAAAAAAATTATCCCCGAATAGAAAAAATTGACGTTTTTTTGGCCAACCCGCTGGAGAAACATGTGTAGCGCATGGCGTACTGTTGTTCTGATTGATTTAATATGTAACTCATTCAGAGATTTCAAAGATTTATCAGAACTAAATGTCAGTACATGATTGTTCTATAATTACCTACATGGTTTTTAACCTTGGTGTAACTGCGAACGAGTTAAAATCATTCCCAAAGCTGCATTTTCGAATGCAACTTTCGGCTGTCGGCTACCGGATTAACCTAGTTTTTTATGACCAACTCATTTAAATATGAATGGAGTAATGGCAGGTATTATTCATATCTAAATAAATTACCCATAAATATAGTTGGTTAATCCGGTAGCCGACAGCCGAAAGTTGCATTCGCGACTACAAGCTTAGTTCTATGTGGGCTTATCACACTGGATATAGCACTAATGTTATAAGCAACATTGTTGACATGGAACAGACTTTATTAGTAATTGTTACTCGGTATATGGCATACATTCATGGTTGCGCGGTATTTGTGATACGGGTGAATATGCCATACTCACCTGCGGTATATGGCATATTGCGCAGGTGAGTATGCGATATTCCGCAGTGAATATGCGATACATTGATTTCAGTGAATACCCGATACTCACCTGCGGAATATGTCATACTCATTTGCGGAATATGCCATATACCGCAGGTGAATATGACATATACCGCAGGTGAAAATGTGATACAGAAAGCCTTGATTTGATTGGTTGCGAGAATCGACTCTAAATGTAAAACTACGCTGGATTACCAATATAGTTAGTGCGTCGAGTACTAATATATGAATCCTGGATTGACTGAGTAAGTTAATTACGTGAGATTGGTGACTGATACTTCTGCTAAGTTGATATATTCGATACACAGAACTGTTGATTCAATAATCATTATAATAATTTATTAAGTTTTACTTGTTCGTTCAATCGATGCAATTGACAATTGCGTACTTCCGTATCACGTTCTCATTGGTTAGTGTGTATACCATATACCGCAGGTGAATCTGTCATACACCGCAAGTGAATATGCCATATTCGTTGCGGAATATGACATATTTTTGTATCGTGTTTACCGCGTAGCAGTAATAACAGACCTAGTATGTAGTTGAACAAACTTGGCAAAATAGAACATTTATAATCAACTAAGCTTGTATTCGCGAATGCAACTGTCGGCTACCGGATTAAATGTTGTGGGCAACTCATTTAAATATGAATAGTAACTGCCACTATTCCAATCATATTTAAATGAATTGCTTATACAATAGTAGGAACCCGGTAGCCAGTAGCCGAACGTTACATTCACGAATTCAATACAAGGTTGGAAATTCAAAATCAATGTATTATGGTTTAAAACGATGGTGGAATCGTCTTATTTTATGCATGACGTATACTAACACATATCTCATTGGTCCTTAGGGTGCATGGGTGCCTCGTGTCCACGTATGAGAGTGCGTCCATCCGGCGTTATAGGAACGGCAGAGTTGATGTAATAAGGTCTGCCCATATGAAAGCCTTGGAGTGGGTGAAAGCTATGGTTGGCGAAACTGAATGTGATGTAAGTTAGCCATCAATCATGATGAAAATTAATGTCAGTGGTATAATTATTTCCGTCGAGACATGCTTGCCATACCGATCGACCGATAAGTTTAGAGTCACCTCGTCTCATTTATTTCAAGAAGTCAACTTGTAACCAATGTAGTTAAGAAACGGATACTAACTAGGGAAATGAAGAATCTGGAAAAAGAGCTGTCATTTTGTATGTATTTATAATGTATCATCATTTTTAGGAATTTAAGCATTGGATTCTGACCAACGTGCTTATACAAGTGCCAAAATGGGAAATAAGGAAATAAAAAAAACAGTATATGCAATTAAAAAATAATTCAGAGCAAATCCTAAATATCCCAAAATATGAACTTACAAAAAAGGAAAGGATGTTGAACACTCCCTCACCCATCACGTCTAGTCTTATTTCAACTTATAGTTGTACAATTTTGAGTTGATCACGTGTCTTCCACGTGCGCGTGTATTATGCTTGCACGTGTTTTAAACCCTACAAGTAAACCATGTGAACTAATTAGAAATATGCGGTTTTGGCGTGTGTGTCGTTGTTGTTCCTGAGCCCACGGATGTCATAATAATGTGAACCTCCATCAAATACGTTCTTTTGTTTGACAAAAATCTCCGACTAAGGGTCGTGTTCCCTATTAAGACCCGCTGACGTATACAGTGTATAATGTCACCCCTGTTTTTCAATATATTTCTGCACTATATAAATATAATATAAATATATATAAATAAAATAAATAAATGAATAATATTAACATATGTATAGCTCTCATGGAAAAATAAAATAATAAGATACAATGTACTTTCGATTCTGTTATAGGACACCGAGAAGATGAAATTGTTCCGTGAGGCAGTGAGGCACCAAACGAGGGTTATGACTCAGGTGAACGACTTCAGATCTTTGTTAATTAATCATGATAAATGGTCAACATGCCAAATACAGCACAACACAAAGCACGTTTTATGAACTAAATAAACCAAAGTGTTTGTTCAATAGATATATTTTTAGAACATTGGATTTAAAGTTTCGTCATCCTCTTGTTACCTTCTCTTAAAACGTTCATTAATTACAAAGTTATTTCAAACAATTCAAGATGCGTAATATAGCGTTTTTCCTGTTTAGGCAATCCTCGGAGAAGGGATAGATAACCATTTACTAGGACTACGAGCTGTAGCAACTGAAGTTCTTGGGAGAGAAACACCAGAGATATTTCAGGACCGAACCTTCATAGAGTCGAATCAGTTCATTTTGTCTACCAGTCAGGTTAGGTTTTATAAACTTTATATTGTGTTTCCGTTTTGTATGATACTCCAAGTATGAAAATAAAACGTAACTTAAAGCTTGTGTTTAAGATCCCATCTATAGACTAGAGGCCCTACCTCGTGTTGGAGCTCAATTTTTACTTCCTAAATCTAAGATTGTAAATTGTATTCAAGAGTCAATTTGTAAGACTGCTCGTGAATTGCATGCTTTTAAAGTTGATGTTGCCTTCAATACAGGTTCCGACCACAATGGACACGTTTATGTGTTACGGTCCTGTCGTGCACGATGGTTATGGTGTATGTTACAATCCACATCCGGGATATATGATATTTGCCGTGACGTCATTCAACCCATGCGACAAGACGAGATCAGATTTTTTCGCCTACACGATAGAAAGCAGTTTGAGACAGATGAGAGAAGTCTGTTTGAAAGACTATGAAATGAGACTCTCAAGCACGCCAAACGGAAATGCTAGCCATTCTTTGAAAAGTAATGGAACTCTAAATGGAGTTTCAAAATGATGGAATGACGAGGCAGATGTTAGAATAACGGTGAATATTAGAAGCTGATACATAGTTGCAAACGATTTTTTAAATTAACTAAACCATTTTACGTACAATTATTTTATGAAGCATTTAAATTTGTAATTCTATCCGGAATTTAAATGGGCAAGAATTACTTATCAAGAATAAGTAGTAGCCACGTGATTAATAGTGTTTTACGACCAATCGCTGAGGATGATATGACGTGACGTATGTCTGTAATTCATTTCTACATGAAGAATAATGATCTTGGTATGATTGGAAGTTATGATATAATTAACAAATTGGTATCTCAATTAAAGAAATCCTATGAAGAAATATATGGGGATTTTCATGATGTACTATTTAAAGAACACAATTGTATACCAGTGGTACATGTAGACTAAAGGGTGTAAATGCCAGTTCCAAACAGTTCCGTAACAAGAGGAGCGTTGACTGGTATTTTGTAATGATCTCATTGATGACCTTAAAAGTTCAAAAATTCTCAATTGTCACATTAATATTTTACGTATTTTGAGTCTGTCAAATGTTATAAAATTATCTAATATAATAACTGTCATTTAATTTGAATACTGATTAGGATAATTCACATTTCATTTTAAAGCACAATTTTCATATTCTTGTCGCCAATAAGTTCCATGCTAGAAATTGTAAGCATGTAAGCATTTAATTTTCAGATCTGTCACATTTGGTAACATTAGCACTATTTACACTATACGCGACATTTCAAGACGTCTTAGCTTGAACGTTTTAGAAAAATCATGTTGAGTTTACACCACCATTTTCAAGACGTCTTACGAAATATGATTGAGTTTACACCTGTTTTCCTAAAACGTCTTAGAGATATGTAGGCATACATGTAAAATTAAAAAGCATTTCAGCACTGGTTGAAGGACGGTTCAGTCAACATGGCTATTCCTTTCCCGCCTACACCTTCTGCTAAAGAATGCATCGGTTTCAAAGAATGTCCTAAAGAGAGCATTGTTAAAAGCATGAAAGCGGACAGGAAGATTTTGTGCATATATTAGGATTATGATAGAACGCTAGGCGAATTAGTTCTTCTTGACAATTTTGGATGATATTGTTAACAAAGGGATGAGACAAGAGAAAGGACCGTGCTACCCATGTAATCAGGAAGTTTCAAAGTTTTCGTTCAGCGCAACGCATAAAACCGGACTAAGAGCTCTTAGCTAAAACCGATGGATTTACACTCGCTTGTATTTTACGTTTTAACGCTAAGACGTCTTGGCTAGGACTAGGGTCCTAAAACATTTTAGCTAAGTGCTCTTAGCCGAGAGATCTTGAAAAAATATGGATTTACATTACATTTGTAAAACGTTTTAACGCTAAAACGTTTTGGCAAAGACGTCTTAGGGCTGTAGTGTAAATCCAACAATTGTAGAAGTCACGTGGGAGACATTCTGGTACTAATCAGTGGCGGATCCAGGAACCAACAGGGGGGGGGGCCTAAATTTGAGGTCAGAGAAAAAATCTCCGCGCTTGCACGGAAAAAATTTTTGGGCCCCTAAAACCGAAAAGTGGGCCCAAATTTTCAAAATTTGGCCTAAAATAAAAAAAATAAGGCCTTAGAAGGCCCATTAATGACCAAAAGGCCCACTTTTTTGGCCTAAAATTTTTTTGGGCCCAACTTTTTTTTCTGGGCCAACCTTAGGGGGGGGGGCGGCCCCATGGGTCATAGCTAATCCGCCATAGCTAATCACATCTTTCTGCCTTCAAATAGAAATACGAGTCTTCTAGAGAGAAACTATATAGACGGCCTTCTCATGATGCCTGGGCGATATTATGAGATGATTCACATAATTCATGCTTCAATAAGGCGGGGCACTTATTTCGATTATGTCTGAAGAAATCGTTCTACTTATTACCTGGTAATACTGGTTAGCCTTATATAACGATTGTGTAGTATACGTCACACTAAAACCTACACCTACATTGGTGATTCTCAGATAACCATTAATTGATAAATACGTGTTTTGTAATAGGCAATTATAAATTATATAAAATAAATCACGCGCACGTTTGCGGCAGAAATAGGGCGAGATAATAGTAACGTGTGGTATCAGTTTACTTAAATCACACAGGTGACATTCACTGCTGAACTGTGTGGTTAGTTTAGTTTAGTGGACAGTAAATGCTTAGTCAATAAAAAACACCAAAGCAATATTTGCAGTAGAGAATTGTGTATATCTTTATTAAGGGACCTATAAAGTAAAGGATGAACCACTTAAATTGATACTTTTCACAAGATTCATTCTGATAACGTCACCCAAACGATGACAAGAAGATAGTCGAGTGTTGTACAAAACATTACTGTAGAATGCATTTGCACTGGCTCAAATCAGTTTTAAGAATCCATTTAGTGGTTCGCCCTGTACTTTATATAAACTATACAGTATATATATGTATTGTCTATATGATATGAGTTGCAATATGTGAAAGATTTATTATGCATTCCATGTTTATATTTTGTTGTTATTATTTATTGTTATTATTTTAAAGTATAAGATTGTCAGTATATATGGCATTCGTTATAGGTATTTATTCGTAATGTTAAGAATAAAAATAGCCTTCATAGATTTTTACATATTTCTTCTGTTTTGATTTTACGAGTATTTAAGCACAGGTGTTACATGGTAAAAGACCGAAGGGTATTTGAGACAGCCTTCTCCAAGCGTTTCGTTCAGAGCAATCGTGCCTCATTTCTCTTCTCACGCAGATGCCCTGCAGATGCTAAATTTGCGAGAAAATGTGACCCACTTTTAAACATATTTATTTTTGTGTCTCGTTCATAATAATTACACCAACCTTTTGTAAGAAAAATATTTAAGTAATATAAGAAACTGCTAGAAATAAGTGAAATCTACGATCTTGAAAATATCTCCCAACCTCATCATTTTAAAACCACTCAGAAAAATATGTCTCTGTCAAAGAGTAGTCTAGTCTAGCTACAAGCCCGTGTGACCCCACAAGTTACTATGTTGTGGATTAACTAATGGGGGGGGGGGGTTCCGGGAGTCCAGAGAAGTGAAGCAAAATTTTAGAGGTGATATTCATTCAATTTTCACGTCTCTGTGTTCGGGGCCATGTGTGATAGAATTGCTTTTTAAAACCTGTATACCCTATGAGCACAGATTTTTATAGCCCCGCATTAGGCTTAGTCTCAGCACCATGTATCTCCACGATGTTGTTCGGTACAACTTTTCTCCACAGATGAAATATATTAGAGATATTCTTAACATTTGTTTATTTGCGATATCTCTAAAACATTGCCCATTATTTATCATCGGCTTTGCACCGAATCATTCCTTGACTATCTCTCATTATATTGTTTTCCTCACTCGATAAATCTCTTGCTCATATCTCCAGGAATTTCCTTTAGAGAACCCCCTTTTCAATTAATCGCAAAGCAAACATATTAGTTCAATTGACAGAGTGAAGGGATCCATATTTAAACCGATGCGGTAGGTGGTAAGGCGTCAAGCGTAAAATTCATCCCTCCTCTGACTATCTAGCTGTCATGCATGTTTATCGCCTTTTACCAGTTTTACGTGCTAAAGCAAAGGTACCGTTTGATTTATCATGATCAGTACTTATCGATTTGTCATGTTTTATTCTTATTAGAAAATACAGTTATAATGACATGCCTTCATTGATTTACTTAGGGTGCCGCTCAAAGGTTTGCTCTTACTCCCCTAACGTAATTATTTCGGAAACTTCTACAGAATTGAACTTTTGCAAAACTTGGATTCCGTCTACATTCGTCTTTATCCAATCATAAATAATTTTCAGAAAATCATTATTCAATCAGAATTCGAGACACTACACTAATTGCCTGTAGATAGCTGACACTCAGATTATATTTTAAGACCCGTGAAAGCTCATGAAGTAGATCTTTGGATGTGACACATCATTTATTTTTTTATTCATTTTTATTTTTTGCACCCTAATCTGGAGTTATAAGTACGGTAATAATACAGAAGTAAAATCCATACAATATAAAAATTCATGCAATAAAATATATGAAAATCAAAGAAAATCGCAGTCTCGTTTTCATATCATTATATATATTTAGTAAAAAAAATTAAGAACAATAATCAAACTTGGAACTTTGGTTTTTATACCTAGGATAGGCGTAGACAGGGGGTGCGATGGATGCGATTAAAAATGCTTTTTATTTTTATTTCAATTTCGAAGGAAGTAGCATCAATTTTTGTGAAATTCAAAATAAATATTTTTTTTGGTTAGCTAATGCCACAATCACACCCCCTGACTGAAAACCGATTTTTTTGCGATCGCCCCCCCCTGACTAAAAGCTGGCTACGCCCCTGTCTAGTATGGTAATAATCACAGTTCCTCTCTTGGTACTTCCCCATCTGCCAATTCGCTCATCACATTCAGTGGTTTCAAATTGACACCCAATAACTCTAGTTTTTCAACAAAGAGGTGTCGTACATAGAATTTTTCTTCAAAGTCACATCTCTTTGGTTAACTCGATATTTTAGAAAGACTATATTTTTCAAAATTTAAATCGACTAATCAAATGTAGTATCTAAATGATTGCTATATAAATTTGTTAGTAAATTGAATATGTTGAGCATGTGTTGGAGGATACAAAACATATGGACATTATAAAACGTGTTATCTTTAATGAGTATGAAATATCAAACAACCCCTTTTGAGACCTGGTCGAAAACATATTATATTGACCAGTTAGAAATTATCGAAGGACTTGATGCATGATTTTATTATGTGGTAGAATAGCAAAAATTCATGGATTTTAAGAAATATCAATTGTCGTAAATGCCCAAGTATTAACATGAATACGAATCAACTTGGGAATATGTTAACAGAGATGATGTTCTATTTAACGCTTTGAAGAAAGACTGGCATATATCCATAACAAATAACATTATCTAAGTCTTGTTTGGTTACGATCTGTTTATGTTAGAGAGCGTTAGAGATTGGTCCAGTTAGATTCTTCATTACTTCTAAAAGACTTGAACAGACTTACAGTGTATCAAAAATGTATTTAGGACCATTAGGTAGATTGTTTTTAAGATAAACAAAAAATCAATCTGTTTCGTGTCTATTAACGCCTCAATACGTTTCCAACCAAAATCTCCAATTATGGGTTCGCTGACAGGTTTCTACGCAAAATATCTGATCCCATATTAAATTGCATGGATGCATTTGGGTGTTGCTTGATGTTTCGGTCAATACAGATGCCACATTCATCGAAAATAACAGAATATGTACATATATAGGTACAGGGCATTATTAGATCGTGTTACTAAAACCGTTTCTATTGATGTTACAATATTTAGTAAAGGCACTACATAATATCATATTCCTAATACGTTTACACTTGGTTCTAAAATATCATTGACGTTGTCATTTATCTTAAAAAACGATCAATATACATTTGAAGGGTAGTTCTCTCTTTCCGATTCGCCGTGGTTTGTTTTTGTTTACTAGTAACCGTTTGCTTTGATAACGGCCAGGGATCTCCTGAAACAAGTAACATTTTCGATAACAGAATATGCAGTTGAAGTGCCCAAAATCTTGAATCTTGATATTGTTTGCTAAAAATCCCTA